GTATTCAGGAGAAACATTTCTTCTTAAAAATCAAATTTGGGCTGGGTGAGGTGGCTCATGCCTGTAATCCTAACACTTTGGGAGGCTGAGACAAGAGGATTCCTTGAGGCTTCGAGTTCAAGACCAGCCTCAGCAACATGGTGAAACCCTGCCTCTGCACCAAAAAAAAAAAAAAAAAATGCAAAAATTATCCAGGTGTGGTGGTGTGTCCCTGTAGTCCCAGCTACTCTGGAGGCTGAGGTGGGAGGATTGCCTGACCCCAGGGAGGTCACGGCAGCAATGAGCCATGATTGCAACACTGTACTCCAGCCTGGGCAACCGCATGAGATACTGTCTCAAAAAACTAAATAAATTTAAAAAAGAAAGAAAATCCAATTTGATGTCTGAAGACTGAGAAGTATAACTATTGAAATGCTTGAGATAAAGAAAGGTGTCCTCACTGAAGGGACCTGGGCAAGAAGAAAAAGAAAATGGATGGAATAACTTGGGGCAGAACATAAGAAGCTTCTTTTTACCCACTTATGTCATTCTAAGTGAAGAGGTCACTAGTAGTCACTTCCATATGTGGACATAGAGCATCAGTCAACTTCCTGGTGAAGGCAGAGAGCCACATCCCCAAAACATCTGAGGTCAGAAGAAAAGGCGTTATTTCAGCTACTGCCTAGCAGCGCTGTTAGCTTGGACTAGTGGGAGTTCTCTTCTGAGTAATGCCAGCATTGGGAAATTGGTCATGAAAACAGAACAGGAGACCATTTAACATGTCAGGGACAAGCCACAGAGCAGGCAGAGGTTTGGGGCTGGTCTCCAAGACCAGACTTAGCCATGACTGGCCAGCATGATGGGCACAACCAGTGTTCTGCCTCATCCTTTCCCCGAGAGTGGCCCCTGAAATTGCTTCTGAGGGTCCCGTCTTCCTCAGCCTCAGCAAACTGCCAAAATGGAATCATACAATCATTCCATGAAAAGATGGTTGGGTCCAAGGAGGCAACGGTTCCCAGCCTTGCACAGCTGTATTAGTGAAAACCCACTGGGGCCATCTTTAGACAACCCAACCCTGCACCAAACTTAACTAAGCCCTAAACGCTGCCATTGCAAGCAGATTAAAATTTACTTCCATCGACATTAAAAATAATTTGGGAGGAAAAAAAGGCAAAAAGATTTTTCTAATTTTGTTTTTGAAATTATTTGTCTGAGTAACTCATTTAATTCATAATTTGCTTCACTTTTTTTCCTAAAAATCTGTGCATAATTGAGAATTCTTGAGAAGTGAGGAAATTAAATCCACAGATTACTTTCAAATGTGTGAAATGCTATATGAATGCTAAAGTTAGCAGTTCATGAAGCTAGTGTGTTAACGTTTGTAAGCATCTAATTAAACATGTATTATTTTGTGACTTCCTTTTTGCATTTTGGAGCCAGTCATTTTCCAGCTTGAAACATTGGTATAGGCTCTCAAGAAGCTCACAGGGCCTAGACCCTGTGCCTACAGGCCTGAAGGATCAGCAACCCAGTGAGAAGGTTTTGTGGGAGGTACTTGTGTCTGTGGGCACTGACTCAACTCCCCACATCTCTCCACCCATGATTGTTCATGATGATCCTAAGGGCAGTGCCCTGAAGATAACATCCCAGATGTAGTCACCAGTGTGCCTGTTCATTGCGTGTTTCCTCCTCCCACTTGCCATAACGGCGGGGACCTTGTGTTGTTCGCTGCTGTGTCCCCAGCCCAGAAGAGCATCAGGCCCATCACAGATACTTGACGTAAGTATGTATTGAATGCATGGTCACCTCTCGGCATGGGATTCGGTGGTGGACAAATAAGGCTCCAGATGTATTTCTATTGTTCAAATGATGTATAATGAGAATGTAGTCACTTATTACCTTTGTACTTCAAAAATAACCTAATTTTACACTGTGATATCATCTCGCACCCATCAGGATGGCTACTATTTAAAAAAAAAAAAAAAAAAAAAAAAAAAAACAGAAATAACAAGAGTTGGCGAGAATGTGGAGAAACTGGAACCATTGTGCACTGCTGGTGAGAATGTAAAATGGTGCAGCCACTGTGGAAAACAGTACGATTTCTTCAATAAATTAAAAATAGAATTACCATATGATCTTGCAATTCCACTTGTAAATATATATACTCTGAAAAACTGAAGCCGAGTCTCAAAGAGATATTTGAACACCCATATTCATAGCAGCATTGTTCGCAATAGCCAAAAGGTGCAATCAACCCAAATGTCTATCAGTGGATAAATGGATAAACAAAATAAAGTATTAATATAAGGGGATATTATTCAGGCTTTAAAAGGAGAAGTCAATTCTGACACATGCTACCCCATGGATGAGCCTTGAAAACATTATGCTAAATGAAATAAACCAGTCACAAAAAGACAAATACTGTATGATTTCATTTATGTGAAGTACCTGGAGTAATCAAATTCATATAGAAACACAAAGTAGAAAGGTGGTTGTCAGGGGCAAGGGGAAGAGCAAAATGGAAAGTTATTGATTAGTGGGCATGGAATTTCAGTTTTACAAGATGAAAATGTTCTAAAGATTGGTGGTACTACAGGGTGAATAATACTTAACAATACTGAACAGTACACTTAAAAATACTTAAGATGGGCTGGGTGTAATGGCTGACACCTGTAATCCCACCACTTTGGAAGGCCAAAGCGGGTAGATTACGAAGTCAGGAGATCAAGACCATCCTGACCAACATAGCGAAACACCATTTCTACTAAAAATACAAAAATTAGCTGGGCATGGTGGCGTGCACCTGTAGTTCCAGCAACTCAGGAGGCTGATGACAGAAGGAGGCTTCAACTCAAAAAAAAAAAAAAATGCTTAACATGGTAAATTTCTTGTTATGTATATTTTACTACAATTAGAAATAAACAACATTTAAAAACACAATTCTAAATGTCAATATATTTATAATTTTGAGTGCAGAGACTTTAAAAAATACATAAAACTCAGGAAGATAAAAAGAACAATCAATGGATTCAGCTAAATAAATATTTTACATTTCTATGATAAAAGACATAAAATTAAAAGACAAACAACAAACAGCAGAAAATATTTGCATATATATATGTTGGGCATTATTAGTCATATAGTAAAAAAATTTTTTTTAAAAAAACAGAGTCTCTGTCACCCAGGCTGGAGTGTAGTGGCGTGATGTTGGCTCACTGCAACCTCCGCCTCTGAGGTTCAGGCGATTCTCTGGCCTCAGCCTCCCAAGTAGCTGGGATTACAAGCACACCCCACCACACCCAGCTAACTCTGTTGTATTTTTAGTAGAGACGGGCTTTCACCATGTTGGCCAGGCTGGTCTCGAACTCCCGACCTCAGGTTATCCACCAATCTTGGCTTCCCAAAGTGCTGGGATTACAGGCACGAGCCAGTGTCCAGGCAATACAGTAAAATGACTGGCAAGAAGGGGGAAGTATCTTAGCTTTGGTTAGTAGAAATCAAATTACTGAAGTCAGTGAACACACCTGACAGACACACAAGATAAGGAGGAGGAGGGTGCAAAGTGTTGATGTTTGTGTAACCACAGGCATGGCTGAGCCTAGAACACAATTAGTATTCCAGCAAATGGAACCATGCAGGTACTATTACAGGTTGCCTCCGTTGAAGGACCCTTCCTTCTGTCACTAATATCATAAACCACATGGCAAATGAGGAGGTTAGATCTGAGAGGAATTTGAGAAGCTTTTGTGCAACATTGAACTTATAATGGGATGAACTTAGGTTGTTACCAAGAGTCTGCACTGAGCCTGAGCACTCAAGATATTCTAGGGATAGCCGGGCACAGTGGATCGTGCCTGTGATCTTAGCACTTTGGGAAGCCCGGGTGAGCAGATGGTATCTGAGGTGGCATCCAGTTCCTGTATTATATTTTTGCTTAAAAAAATTTTTCTGACACTGTGTCTCACTCTGTCATCCGGGCTGGTGAACAGTGGTGCAATCATAGCTCACTGCAGCCTCAAACATCAGGACTTAAGGGATCCTCCTGCCTCAGCCTCCCAAGTAGCTGGGAATACAGGGGTCTGCCACGATTCCTGATTACGTTGTTGATATTTTATAGAGATGAGGTCTTGCTATGTTGCCCTGACTAATCTTGAACTCCTAACCACAAGTGATGCTCCTGCCTCCACCTCCCAAAGGGCTGAGATTATGAGTGAGAGCACCTGTGCCTTGCTGAGATTCTTCCACTTAGTCTTTGTTACAAAGGATATTTAATTCCTAGAATACATAAATGGTAGGAAAATGTCTGGGTCAAGTAAAGTTTATATATTGTAATTGTTGATCTACAGACCACAGTTCCTTAGCTGAACTGGAAGGGCAGGCTTTAGGTGATTCATGGATGGACTGAAACTGTGGACACTGTTGGAAATTTGTGTGAACCCACTGACAGTTTCCTATGATTTTCAGTCCTCAAAGTGTCTCTTGGACACATAAAGATGCCTGAGAGTAAAGGTCATGTGTTCCCCTAGTATAGGATCGAGGACGGTGAATATCCATAGACATTTAGCAAAAAAGCTTTGCCAAAGTGAGTGCTTTGATGTAACAGTTTCATTCAACAAGTCAATATACCCGGGATCTCTTGGACATGATCATCTCACTCCTGGAAGGTCTCATCATTCTGCTTACCCTAAATATCCTTGCCAACTTCCACCCTCTCCCACCAGGCCGAACTGTGAAATGGGAAGGAACAGCAGGGAGGAGAGCCCAACAGCCCTCCAGTTGAGAGTAGATAGGACACGGCCTCTGCTGGGACAGGGAAAAGAGGAATGGGGAGACCCTGAGAATGCTTTTGGATAATGCTGACAGGTTGCGGCATTACCAGGATATACCCCTCACCCCGATCACCAAGAGAAGAGATCAGTCTGACAGTTACATGTGTTTTTCTTCAAACTGGTTGCCAGGTTGGAATGGCCGATGACATCAGAGATTCCAACCTTCCTGATTGGACAGATCGAACTCTGGGCGCTTGGGAACTCAGGTGGATAACAGCATCTTCTCAGAGCTGTTCTTCACTCCTGACTTCTCCTGAGCCTCTAGAAGAGAAATACGCTCTTCAGGCTCCTAACGGGGTCTGTAAGGCAGCTTTGGACAGAACAGAGACTAGGTTGTGTGGACAGAAACAAAGCCTTTGGGGGAGATCATGGCCAGTGGTCAAGCACACCCCCCGTTTGAAGTGCAGAGCCCCCAGCTTAGTACAACAGTACCGTCCCCGCAGGTGGTGGTGGATGATGAAGTGCCAGGACCGTCAGGTGAGGTGACTGGAGGGAGAAGTGATGGGAGAGTACTGACTCAGAAGAGGGACAGGGCCCAGTGATTGGGAAGGAACACCTGGAGTAGGGTGTGTGGGAAAGAAACGAGGGACTCAGTACCTCGGGGAAGGAGGGTGCAGGGAGTGGGGCTCGGCTTGGCCACATGGAAGGAAAGCCTGGGAACAATGACGGGGGTCAGGAGATGCACTCAAAGATGACAGGGGAGAAGGAAGAGCTCAAGTGAAGGTTTCCATTCTTCTCCAATTGAAAGTTCTTATCTGTGATGAGGAAACCTTTTGAGGACAGAGAGGTGGAATAATGGGGAGGTGAGAGAGAGGCAGATGGGGATCAGCAAAGGGGAAAGTGGAGACACGGCTTAGAGAAGCTTAGAGACAGTGACGTGGGAGAGGATGGAAGAATAGTATGTGGCTTTAGGGTCGGGGGTCTAAGGTGATCAGTTGCAGAAACTTTACACCACGGCATGGTTTCTTCACTCAGCCCCCTGGGTAGATCCCAGCCCCTGGCCTCAATCCCTTGGCCTCAAAAGGAGGAGGGAATGGTCAGACGAATCGGAATGGTCAGACGAATCCAAGGAGGAGACGGAGGAGGAGCTGAACTTGGAGCGCAGCCCTGAGCCCAAGGACACCTGGGTGGTGGAGACCCTGTCTGAAGATGGGCTCAAGATGAGGCTGAAGAGAAAGCGAGCGTCTTCCGTACTCCCTGAGCACCACGAGGCCTTCAACAGGCTGCTGGGTAGGACACCCCTTAGAGCACCTCCAATCGGGTTCATTTTATAAAACGGAAATTTCCAATAATCACACTTTTTCAATAAGAAGAATTTGTTCTCCTGGTGGGTGAGCCCTCCATGCAGGAGGAGGAAGCTTAGGAGATGGCAGAGGATGAGGCTAGTCTTTAGAAAGGTCTGCATTTGAAATGAGAAAGCTTGGTTGCAGGCCAGGTACAGTGGCTCATGCTTGAGGTCCCAGCACTCAGGGAGGTTGAGGCAGCAGGATCTCTTGAACTCAGTCATTTGAAGGCACAACGAGCTATGACTGCACCACTGCACTCTAGCCTGGTTGACAGGGAAAGACCCTATCACAAAGTTTTTTTTTAAGAAAATGAAAGCAAGCAAGCTTGGTTTCAGCCATACCCTCTGAAACTCTATGTCTTATGCTGACCTTCTAAACCTAAGTGTCTCCATCCATAGAAGGGGATGACAAGGCCATGGGCACACCCTGCTGTGACTATCTCCCAAAGCAAAGATGGGAATTCCATGATCACTTCTGCATCGGTCCCTCTGTCTCATGGGAGGACGTCATGGCTTATCACATCTCCTCATCCTATAGATTCTGACACCCAGGGCCTCCTTTAGCCTTTCCTCAGGGGAGTCTCAGAGCGGCAGCCTCCCTCCTTGCCCAGTGAAAGTCCTTCTCTCCTCTCCCATCCACCTAACCCTTGGCCACAGTTCTGAGACTTCCCCAAGGGAGGCACAGTTCTCCTCTCCGCCCTGTGGCTCCCACAACAACCTGTTCTGCTTCTCACCCTAACAAAGGTTCTCTTTTCACAGAGGATCCTGTCATTCGAAAATTCCTGGCCTGGGACAAAGATCTGAGGGTTTCCGACAAGGTAAGGTTTTCTCCACTCCACTGTGTTCCTGCTCTAACACACGGCCTGGGGGAGGGTGCAGCTTCTAAACACTTCCTCTCCTCTCTCCCTCTACTATCGCCCACCTACTGCTCCCATTGTATTGGATGCTCAAGTTCTGATTTTTTTAGGGGGGTAAGCGGGAGACAGGATCTCATTCTGTTGCCCAGGTTGGAGCGCAGTGGTGCAATCATCACTCACTGCAGCCTCAACCTCCTGGGCTCAAGCAATCCTCCCAACTGAGCCTCTCCAACAGCTGGGACTCAAGGCTTGAGTTACCACTCCCAGCTATTTTTGCTCTTTTTATAATCTGTCAGCATCTCCCTCAGGGCTCTGCAGGCTTCTTGCATGGTGGATGGGTGGCCCCTGCCTCTGCTCAGGACCCTTTGAGATGGGAGTCCCAGACCACAGTCGTGAAACACTTGACCCCTATCATCTCAGAACTTGGGGACCTCAGCCTGTCAATGTGCTGGTATTACACACATATGAGCCTCCCAATCAGCCAAAATATCAAAGTATTCCTAAAACACTCAGCACAATTCTTTCCATTTTGCAAGTCTTCATGTTAAATGGACTCTATGGAATAATTCATATGGCATTTAGGTATAAATCTTTCCTTCTCTGCATTCATTCATCTCTTCCTATATTCAACAAAACCACGTGATGGACGTCTTATGTGCCAGGGATATGGAGGATGGGAAGAGAGAGGTCACAGCAATGCTTGTTGAATTAGTGCACCAGGATCAACCCGGCTCACCAAGACCCTCCTGACACTAGCCGCCCTAGACACACTCCCTCCAGTGATCCCATTGGAGCATCACAGACCTCTCGTCCTCTGACTTCCCAGATTTGCAGCCAACTTTGAACACCCCTCCACCTGCAATCCCCCAATGAGCACAGTCACCCAACAATGAGGTCCCTTCTCTGATAGGCAAGCGCACCACTGCCCGCATTCCCTTATCTCCACCATCTTCCTCTTCCAGGATGTGACCTCTCTCTCGTTCATTCTGTTCCCTTCTCTCCATCAGTATCTCCTGTCGATGGTCATAGCGTATTTTAGCCGTGCCGGCCTCTTCTCATGGCAATACCGACGCATTCATTTCTTCCTGGCTCTGTGAGTACTTTGCTTCTTCCCACCCGTCAATATCCAATACCCTGGGACAGCGGAGGAAGTGGGATTCCAAACTTCCATCTATTTTTTACCCTATTTGTCCTCTTTCCTCTGTGTGTAAATCTAACAAGATTATGCTATGGCATTCTTAGTCTGTTCTTTCTAAAAACAAATAAAAGTGCAGTTGACAAAGAGTAGAATCAAACAAAAGGAGACATAAACCCCTCCGAAGGGGAAAGGAAAGAAATGAACATGACCCCGCTCCCCAAGCAAGTTGCCATTTCTGGTTCTTCTGACTCTCTCCTTCCTATATCAACATCAAATGCCATTTTCCATCCTCCTCCTCTAGCTTCCCATGACAGAGGCCACAATTCAGGTAGTCCTGGCATAACACGGATCCATCTTCAAATCCTCCCTTCTGGGACTTCCTGCCCTGCAAGTCCCACCCCAAGTCAGGGGGCTCCCTAGAGCTGCCCGAATAGCTTTCCAAAGCACAGCTCCCCTGCTTCACTGCCCACCTGAACCACTTCCTTCACTGATTTCCCTCTAAATGGAGGACTGGGTCCACAGGGCGAATTCACCCCTCTCTACAATCTCTCTAGCACCCAATCTGCACACCATCCTGATGTTAGATTATTTGGTTTCACTGCTTCTTCCAAATGCCCACCACTCTGTTTTGGTTTGATGTTTTCTGTATGGGTGTCCTGCACACATGTGGATCTGAAGGGAATTACCAGTTTCTTAAAGTCAGTCCAAGCCCACAGCCTCTGTGATGCCTTCCCTGATCTTCCAACATCTCATGCCTGCAGCACTTTACTTACCTTTTGGGTAAGGCGGGGTCTTGTCAAGACATCAAAGTTTTTGTTTTTGTTTTTACCAGACAGAGACGTGCTCTGTCCCTAAGGCTGGAGGTCAGTGGCAAGATTATAGCTCACTGCAGCCTCTATCTTCCAGGCTCTACTGATCCTCCTGCCTCAGCCTCCTGAGTAGCTGGGACTACAGGTGCACACCACCACATCTAGCCACTTTTTATGATTTTTAGTAGAGACGAGGTTTCACTGTGTCACCCAGGCTGCTGCTACTCCTGGACTCAAGGAATACTCTCACCTCCGCCTCTCAAAGGGCTGGTATTAGAGACATGAGCCAGCCAATCAGCTAAAAGATCAAAGTCTTCCTAAAATACTCAGCATACTTTCTTTCATTTTGCATCTTATATTGACTCCAGAAAATAATTCATATAGCATTTGGGTATAAGATAAATCTTTCCTTCTTTCCTCCATTCATTCATGTATTCATTTATTCAACAAAACCTTATAAAGTACATCATATCATATGTGCCAGGGAATATGGGGGATGGGAAGAGAGAGGTCACAGCAATGCTTGTTGAATTAATACAGCAAGATAAATATAGCCCTATTTTGGCCATTTGGTAGGTGAGAGATGATTAACAGAAGCAAACTAGTCAGTTCCCATCCTTAGGGCCCTTAGGATGGAGGGGGAGACAGGTGTGTGCAAACATAACAAGGAAGGGGATGTGGGTGGAACAGGGATGGGGACTAGGATGAGGTAATGTCACCTGTCTTGTCTAAGAATGGCAAGACACATGCTTAGGATAAGACTTGGGTTGGTTTTAAATTAAGAGGGAGTCTTGCTGTATTACCCAGACTGGTCTCTAACTCCTGGCCTCCGGTGATCCTCCTGTCTGGACTCCCAAATTGCTGGGATTCCAGGCTAGAACCACCAATCCCAGCCACCACTTGGCCTGTCTCCTGCCTGAAGGTGTGAGAGGCACCCTTCAGCACGTCTCTGTCCAGTGGGGCCTGCTGAGGAAGGCAGGGCCCTCTGCAGGGTGACTGTGGTTGCTGAGCTGAGGAGAGTCCCCTGCCTTCCTCTCTGGGAAGCTGAACTCAGGTGGGGGTCCCTCCTGGGGGTGGCCCTGAGCAGCAACACGATTTCTCTCCCCAGCTACCTGGCCAGTGACATGGAGGAGGACAACCAGGCCCCCAAACAAGACATCTTCTCCTTCCTCTATGGGAAGGACCACTCCCAGAGACCCTTGTTCCATAAGCTTCGATACCAGTTCCTCTGTTCCATGCGCTGGAGGACATGGGTTTCCCCAGAGGAGATGGAGGAGGTAGGTGGGGCCATAAGGAGGAGGTGGGGTTGAGGAGAGATGGGCTGGATTGGAGGCTGGAGGAGGGCAGGGAGAGGTCTTCCAGGGGAGTCCCAGGCTTCTCAAGTGATGTGTGTTTTTCCAGATCCAGGCTTATGACCCAGAGCACTGGGTGTGGGCCCGAGATCGCACCCTCATTTCCTAGAGCCCCAGGGACATGGAGGCCTGAGGTCATCGGCCTGAGAGAAGGTATGTCTGAGTCCTCCAGAGTAAAAGCTAAAGAACATCTGAGGATCCCAATTGCTTGATCCAGCTTCAAACCTGGTCAACGTGGCGAGACCCTGTCTCTACAAAAAATTCAAAAATTAGCTGGGCATCGTGGAGGGCACCACTAGTCCCCACCACTCAGGACGCTGAGGTGGAGGGAACAGCAGAGCCTGGGAGGTGGGGGCTGCAGTGAGCTGTGATTCTGCTACTGCACTCCAGCCGGGGCCACAGAGTGACACTCTGTCTCAAAAATGAGGATACTACGTAGGTTTAGGGAGGTTCCTTAGGATGGACACACTTGAGTTACGGATTTGGGAAAAGGATTCCCTGAAGATTTGCTTTACATCTTGTGCAGCTAACCGCATTTAGCACTAAGCATTAGACTTCAACAGGAGAGATTAAAATTCAGGATTAGGAATCTGGTCTGGTGGTTCGTGATGTTGTCATGTTAGACATGGGTGTAGCATGGTTCCAAGTTTAGGTCTTAACAACACAGAAGGCCCCAAGTGTGATGAAGTCCAAAGCCACATTCTCCCAGGGTGCTCTACTCCCTGGGCTGACTCCCTCGAAATCCTTGCTATGAAGCAGATCACTGGGGGTAACTCTGGGCATATTCAGTTATTTTTTTCAGTCAAGGTCACCAAAGTGTGACTATCAGAATCAAAAATGATGGTTCAGAATCAGGGTTTAGAATGAAGGGTCAGAGATAAAATAGCATTTATACATTGCTCTGAACTCTAGTTGCATCTTGTGGGATGCAAATAACCTTCCATTCTAGAGATCTGCCTCCTTCAAGTGTGACATCCTCTCTCTCACTTCCAGACCACAGGGCCCAGGGGAGATGGGCATTTTCAGCAGGAAGTGTATCCCAACACCAACAACACCAAAGACACCAAGAAGAGAAGAGTTTCCTGTGCAGATCATCTAAAGAACCTGGACTCTTCTAGAAGGGGCAGAACAGAGTGACCAGGTTTTCCTCCCTGGAGCCAGGGGTAGTTCCTGGAGTCTGTGGAGGAACATGAGAAACCCAGGGTGTTTCTGGTTCCAACCCTTCCTGTGGCACCACCTCCCTTTTCTCATTGCTGAATCCCAACCTCCCCTGGGCTGGAAGCTGGAGGGCCCATTTCCTATGGACTTGGCTGCCACACTCCAGGAACACTGGAAGGCACAGCGCAGGAGCTCAGATTCTCACAGAATTCTCTGTAAAATACGAAATTACTGCCATAGGATTTTAAGAGATAGTTTAATAGATACCACACATTTTATTGTTTTATTTTGAAAATGTTGGCCATAGAAATATTACTACGTTTGTTTTAAACAGTTTGAAATTGTTATAACTTTAAAAACATGCTGTTCCTGTAGACTTTTGTGATGGTTGTTATAGCTGTTATATATGCATAAGCATAATTTAGTTTTTATTTTTTATGGAGGACTTTTTATCCTCAATCTTTTATTTTATCTATTATTATACATGCTCCCAAAGTGAGCACTCTTGTTATCTATGATACTGACTTAATATATCCATTATATTTATAGCTAGGTGGTAGTTCTTCTACATTCTGGTGAATAAAAATTTTTATTTTCTGTTTAGTGTTCACTACTTAATTGTGAGGATTCAGCTGTGATTTTTAACATGTATACATATATACTAACATGTCCGATATACGCCAAACATTTTATGTGTTTAATTTGAAAATGATGGGCATAGAATTATTACTACGTTTATTTCACTAGTTAAGAAATACAAGCATTTTTGAAGAGACACTGTTGTTATGAAATTGTGTGATGGGTGTCGTACCTGTCAAATACATACACATACATACAATTCTGTTTTCATTTTTAAGAGGCGATTATTTTATCCCCTAAACGTTCTACTTTAAAATCATTTTACCTATTATTACATGTGCTGCTGAAGCACTGTTTTTAACCTAGTATTATTACATAAGACATCTATCGTATTTATAGGTAGGGGGCATTTCCCCTAAATTATTGTAAAAAATAAATTTTTATTTAATGTTTAGTGTTTGTTATTGAATCGTGAGAATTCAGATGCCATTTTTTACCTTGTATTAAAAGGTTTCTGTGTTACTTTAAAGAGGACGTGTGTTTGAAAGGGGGACAGGAGCTGTGTGTTTTAAAGAGGACAGTGCAGTGCACTGCTCGGGAAAATGCAATAAAGATGATGTTTTCTCACCTTCACAATGACTGTGATCATATTGGTCTGGATTGCTAATCTGTTGTCCAATGACACTTTTGTTTAATGAGGTTTTAGTTATTTGAACAAATTTATTAACTCTGGAAAATAACGCTGAATCATTTTTACTTTTATTATTATTATTAAGAAAGGGTCTTGCTGCATTGTGCAGGCTGGAACGCAGTAGTTCAATCTCAGCTCAGTGCAACCTCTGCCTTCCAGATTCAAGCAATTCTCTTGCCTCAGCCTCATAAGAAGCTGCAATTACAGGTACCTGCCACCATGCCTAGCTAATTTCAGTAGTTTTAGTAGAGGCACCATTTCACCATGTTGGTCAGGCTTTTCTTGAACTCCTGACAGTGATCTGTCTGCCTCGGCTTCCCAGGGTGCTGGGATTACTGGCGTGAGCCACAGCCTCTGGTGCATACAGTAAAATATTTATGAGAGGAGGGAACTATCTTGGGTTTAGTTAGTAGAAGTAAAATTACTGAAGTCAATGAACTCTGAGGACACACCTGACAGACACACAAGACGAGGAGGAGGAGTTGCAAAGAGTCAATGTTTGTGCAACCACAAGCATGGCTGAGCCTAGAATGCAATTTTGGTTCCAACAAATGGAACCGTAAAGCTATTGCTACAGGTTGCCTCCATTCTAGGACCCCTCCTCATGTCGCCAATATCATAAACCACATGCAAATGAGGCAAGTAAGATCTCGGAGGAATTTGAGAAGCACTTGCACAATGTCCAAGAGTGAACTTACAATGGGATGAACTTACGTTGTTAACAAGAGTCTGCACTGAGCCTGAGCTCTCAAAACATTCCTGGGATGGCTGGGTACAGTGGCTCATGCCTGTGATCTCAGCACTTTGGGAGGCCCAGGTGGGCAGATGGTTTGAGCTCAGGAGTTCAAGACAAGCCTGGGCAATATGGTGAAACCACACCTCTATAAAAACACAAAACTTATCCCGGTGTGATGGGGCACACCTGTAGTCCCGGCTACCCAGGAGGCTGAGGTGGGAGGATTGCTTGGGCCTGGGAGGTCAAGACTGTATGATCTATGATCATACCACTGCACTCCAGCCTGGGTAATAGAGTGAAACTCTCTCTCGAAAACAAACAAACAAGAAACATTCAACACATTCTTCGGGACTGCAGGTCTGTTCTATCTACCTCCCAATGACGCAGCCACAGGGTAAATAGACCAAATGTTGCCCCACCTCCCCTGTTTAGTGCCGTTTCTGCTTGTAGAGAATCCCAAGCCTAGAAAAAGGCAAAGCTAATTCTTCTGCCGACTTGGTGAATCAGCCTGGGTGATGGCTATTGGTCCACCTGCCGTGGATTGCTGCCTTAGCTGCCTTCCTGTCCCTGGCTGCATCCAATGAGGGTCCAACCAATCCACTCAAAAGGATTAGGATGAGTAGAGGTGAGCATCAAAAATACAGAGTTACTTTCCAGAGAACATAAAGACCTTCTGTAAATCAGTAAAACTACAAAGCAACTTGACTTTTTAAGTGGGCATGAAACAGGAACAGGAGACACACAGAAGAAGAAATGGCTGTATACACATGAGTTACTTCACCTATCAGATGGGCAAATTTTAAGAGACTGGTAATACACCATGTTGGTGAGTGCCTTAGTCAGTTTGGGTTACTCCTACAAATTCTCATAGACTGGAAAACTTCAACATTTCTCTCTCACAGTTCTGGAGGATGGGAAGTCCAACATCAAGGTGCCAGGAGAGGCAGTGTCTGCTGAGAGTCTGCTTGCTGGTTTGCAGATGGCCATTTTCCCATTGTTCCCTCACACGCCAGACAGAAAAGGGAGAGAAAGCAAGCTCTCTCTTTTCGTATAAGGGCACTAACCCCATCGTGAGGGCACCACCCTTAGGAGCTAATTACCTCCCAAAAACTCTATATCCAAGTACCATTACATTGGAGATTAGGGTTGGATATGGTTTGACTGTGTCTCCCATTCTTATCTCAACTGGAATTGTATCTCCCTGAATTCCCACATGTGGCAGGAGGGACCGAGGGTGAATTCACTGAATCATGGAGGCCAGTCTTTCTCGTGCTATTCTGATGGTAGTGAATAAATCTCAGGAGATCTGAAGGGTTTATCAGGGGTTTCTGCTTTTGCTTCCTTTTCATTTTCTCTTGCTGTCACCATGTACAAAGTGCTTTTTGCCTCCCGCCATGATTCTCAGGCCTCCCCAGCTGTGTGGAACTGTAAGTCCAATTCAATTTCTTTTTCTTCCCAGTCTTGGGTATGTCTTTATCAGCAATGTACGGTTTCAGCATATGAATTTGGGGGACACACGTTCAGTTCACAGCAGTGAGGATGCAGAGAAATAAAGACTCTCTCTGCTTTGGGCTGGAACTTAAACTTGTACATTAGACTTGTAAAGTCTTCAGAAGCTCAGATACGACTTCTGAGCCTTGTGACTTCTGAGGATCAAGGCTGTGTTCTGGCAGCTCTTTCACCATTGGCAAAAAAAATGAAAGGTATCATTTCCATTGAATATCCTGTTACATAATGAATTTTCACATTGAACACTTAATTTCCCATTTAATTAAATCCACCAGGAATTTGATTTGTACATATCTTTCTTTCTTCCAAAGAATTAGCTAGTCGTCCCATACCATTGTTGCATAACCTACACTTTCCCCGCTGGGATACGCCGTGATAACATACATTGCATTCCTATAGAAACTTGGGTTTATTATGAACTTTCTATTCTGTTTACTGTACCAAGGATCATAAACTGGGGCCCTGTCACTCATTTCAGGCCTCCAGATGTGCATTTGATCTTGTTTTGGTTTTGGTCAGAAATGTCTTTTAATTGTGAATTTTCCTGCCGTTAGGCAGCTCACAAAGTCAGGCCTATCTTAGAGCAAGTTACTTGCCCAAGCCCTTAGAGCATTTGAGGTTTGGGCCTGCAGTGACACTAGCAGCATGCTGTTTCAACACCTGTGTCTTAGAACACATTTTTGGTATCTAGCAGTGCACATTCCCTATCATTCTCCTTTGGGATAGTTCCTTAAGTACTCATTTTTCTAGATGAACTTGTACATGGTTTTGTCAACATTTATGGGGGAACATCTCTCTGAGATTTTTACTGCAATTGTATTAAATTCCTAAATTCATTTGGATAGAATCTACAGCTTTACCATATTGAGCCATCTTTAGATGTTTTGTAAGTCTCTATTCAGTTCTTTCATATCATCAGTTAAAATGTCTAGGGTTTTTTCTTTTAATTGAGACATGGTATCACTCTGTCACCTAGGCTTGAATGCAGTGGTGCTGACTCTGCTCACTGCAGCTTTCCCCTCCCAAGCTCAATCTTCCCACTTCAGCCTCCCGAGTAGCTGGGACTACAGGCGGGCACCACCACACCCAGCTAGTTCTTTGTATTTTTGGTGGAAACAGGGTTTCACCATGTTACCCAAAATGGTCTTGCACTCCTGCACTCAAGCAAACCTCCTGCCTTGGCCTCCAAACTGCTGGAATTACAGGTGTGGGCCAATGTTAGGAGGATTCTAGACCAGCACACAGGGGGCTTGGAGGCTGGTGGAGAAGGTCCCACTGAGCAAAGGATACAAAGCCTGATCGCAGCCCTCCCTTGTGGGGCCCAGGCCTTGTATACCTCCCTCAAAAACTTTCCTACTCGTTTCATTGGATAGTGATTTTGCTTTCTTTGGAATGTCTATTGCACTGCCACACCCAAAGACTTCCAAATCTGAATGGACTGATGGACTACAGGTGTGTGCCACCACACCAGGCTAACTTTAATTCAGCCCCCACCTCAGTCCTTTTGAATTAGAATCTATGGGGCTGGGTCCTAGGGTCTGTATTTTAATCTTCCTAGTTGAGAACCTTAGTCTGAAAGGCTGGTATTAGCAAAGCACTTCTCTTGTCTTCCTTGTTTTGTTTTTAATTACTTTGCTGGGATTTGGGGGATCTGAAATGGTCTCCAGGCAGGAGTACAGGGGCTCAATGCAGCCTGGAACTCCTAGACTCAAGCGATGCTCCAAATTCAGTCTCCAAACTAACTGGGACTACAGGTGTGTGCCACCATCTCAGCCTAATTTTAAAATTTTTTGTAGAGAAGGAGTCTCACTGAGTTACCCAGGATGGTATCCAACTCCTGGGTTCAAGTGACTCCCCCACCTCGGCCTCCCAAAGTGTAGGGATGACAGGCATGAGCCACCATACCCGGCCAGTCAAGCCCTGCTATTTCACTCTAATGATATTTTTGGTGCATACGTACAGCCAGTGTTGTATTAAACTGCACTGCTGGAAAAAAGAGAAGGGGAGAAGTGATAGTTTTGCTTTTTCCTGAACATATCAGATAAAGCCTGGGCTGTTTTGGGGACAATGTGTCAACATAATTGAAGATGGGTGCTGCCTGATGGTAGCCTGTCTACAGAAGGTGCCTAGAACACAGAGGAATATGCAAAACTGGCTTGAGGAGTGATTCATCAGAACCTTTCCTGCTACAGAGGAGAAACTCCAATGACAACAGAATATCGATCTTCTAACATTTGAAAGCCTGTTAAATAGGAGAGAAAGATTATTTTCTGTTTTGTTATATAAGGATCCAACCAGCTCTTATGGTTGAAACCATCATGAATGCAAATGTGAGCTCAATAAGAGCATTCAGTTGTGCCTTTCCCATCAGCGAGAGGCTCCTCGGAGACTGGAGCCCATTAGGAAGCTTTGCCGGAACTCATGGGTTCTTTGGATGGTATCTGAGATGGCATCCAGCTCTTACATGTTATTTTTCTTAAAAAAATACTTTTGAGACTGTGTCTCACTCTGCCATCCAGGCTGGTGTACAGTGGTGCAATCATAGCTCACTGCAGCCTCAAACATCAGGACTTAAGGGATCCTCCTGCCTCAGCCTCCCAAGTAGCTGGGACCACAGGGCTGCCATGATACCTGATTACTTTGTTGATATTTTGTAGAGATGAGGTCTTGCTATGTTGCCCTGACTAATCTTGAGCTCCTAACCACAAGTGATGCTCCTGCCTCCACCTCCCAAAGGGCTGAGATTATGAGTGAGAGCACCTGTGCCTTGCTGAGATTTTTCCACTTAGTCTTTGTTACAAAGGATATTTAATTCCTAGAATACACAAATGGTAGGAAAATGTCTGGGTCAACTGACATTTATATATTGTAATTGTTGATCTACAGACCACAGTTCCTTAGCTGAACTGGAAGGGCAGGCTTTAGGTGATTCATGGATGGACTGAAACTGTGGACACTGTTGGAAATTTGTGTGAACCCACTGACAGTTTCCTATGATTTTCAGTCCTCAAAGTGTCTCTTGGACTCATAAAGATGCCTGAGAGTAAAGGTCATGTGTTCCCCGAGTATAGGATCGAGGACGGTGAATATCCATAGACATTTAGCAAAAAAGCTTTGCCAAACTGAGTGCTTTGACGTAACAGTTTCATTCAACAAGTCAATGTACCCAGGATCTCCTGGACATGATCATCTCACTCCTGGAAGGTCTCATCATTCTGCTTACCCTAAATATCCTTGCCAACTTCCACCCTCTCCCACCAGGCCGAACTGTGAAATGGGAAGGAACAGCAGGGAGGAGAGCCCAACAGCCCTCCAGTTGAGAGTAGATAGGACACGGCCTCTGCTGGGACAGGGAAAAGAGGAATGGGGAGACCCTGAGAATGCTTTTGGACAATGCTGACAGGTTGCGGCATTACCAGGATATACCCCTCACCCCCGATCACCAAGAGAAGAGATCAGTCTGACAGTTACATGTGTTTTTCTTCAAACTGGTTGCCAGGTTGGAATGGCCGATGACATCAGAGATTCCAACCTTCCTGATTGGACAGATCGAACTCTGGGCGCTTGGGAACTCAGGTGGATAACAGCATCTTCTCAGAGCTGTTCTTCACTCCTGACTTCTCCTGACCGAAGCCTCTACAAGAGAAACACGCTCTTCGGGGTCCTAACGGGGTCTGTAAGGCAGCTTTGGACAGAACAGAGACTAGGTTGTGTGGACAGAAACAAAGCCTTTGGGGGAGATCATGGCCAGTGGTCAAGCACACCCCCCGTTTGAAGTGCAGAGCCCCCAGCTTAGTACAACAGTGCCGTCCCCGCAGGTGGTGGTGGATGATGAAGTGCCAGGACCGTCAGGTGAGGTGACTGGAGGGAGAAGTGATGGGAGAGTACTGACTCAGAAGAGGGACAGGGCCCAGTGATTGGGAAGGAACACCTGGAGTAGGGTGTGTGGGAAAGAAACGAGGGACTCAGTACCTCGGGGAAGGAGGGTGCGGGGAGTGGGGCTCGGCTTGGCCACATGGAAGGAAAGCCTGGGAACAATGACGGGGGTCAGGAGATGCACTCAAAGATGACAGGGGAGAAGGAAGAGCTCAAGTGAAGGTTTCCATTCTTCTCCAATTGAAAGTTCTTATCTGTGATGAGGAAACCTTTTGAGGACAGAGAGGTGGAATAATGGGGAGGTGAGAGAGAGGCAGATGGGGATCAGCAAAGGGGAAAGTGGAGACACGGCTTAGAGAAGCTTAGAGACAGTGACGTGGGAGAGGATGGAAGAATAGTATGTGGCTTTAGGGTCGGGGGTCTAAGGTGATCAGTTGCAGAAACTTTACACCACGGCATGGTTTCTTCACTCAGCCCCCTGGGTAGATCCCAGCCCCTGGCCTCAATCCCTTGGCCTCAAAAGGAGGAGGGAATGGTCAGACGAATCGGAATGGTCAGACGAATCCAAGGAGGAGACGGAGGAGGAGCTGAACTTGGAGCGCAGCCCTGAACCCAAGGACACCTGGGTGGTGGAGACCCTGTCTGAAGATGGGCTCAAGATGAGGCTGAAGAGAAAGCGAGCGTCTTCCGTACTCCCTGAGCACCACGAGGCCTTCAACAGGCTGCTGGGTAGGACACCCCTTAGAGCACCTCCAATCGGGTTTTTTATAAAACGGAAATTTCCAATAATCACACTTTTTCAATAAGAAGAATTTGTTCTCCTGGTGGGTGAGCCCTCCATGCAGGAGGAGGAAGCTTAGGAGATGGCAGAGGATGAGACTAGTCTTTAGAAAGGTCTGCATTTGAAATGAGAAAGGTTGGTTGCAGGCCAGGTACAGTGGCTCATGCTTGAGGTCCCAGCACTTAGGGAGGTTGAGGCAGCAGGATCTCTTGAACTCAGTCATTTGAAGGCACAACGAGCTATGACTGCACCACTGCACTCTAGCCTGGTTGACAGGGAAAGACCCTATCACAAAGGTTTTTTTTTAAGAAAATGAAAGCAAGCAAGCTTGGTTTCAGCCATACCCTCTGAAACTCTATGTCTTATGTTGACCTTCTAAACCTAAGTGTCTCCATCCATAGAAGGGGATGACAAGGCCATGGGCACACCCTGCTGTGACTATCTCCCAAAGCAAAGATGGGAATTCCATGATCACTTCTGCATCGGTCCCTCTGTCTCATGGGAGGACGTCATGGCTTATCACATCTCCTCATCCTATAGATTCTGACACCCAGGGCCTCCTTTAGCCTTTCCTCAGGGGAGTCTCAGAGCGGCAGCCTCCCTCCTTGCCCAGTGAAAGTCCTTCTCTCCTCTCCCATCCACCTAACCCTTGGCCACAGTTCTGAGACTTCCCCAAGGGAGGCACAGTTCTCTTCTCCGCCCTATGGCTCCCACGACAACCTGTTCTGCTTCTCACCCTAACAAAGGTTCTCTTTTCACAGAGGATCCTGTCATTCGAAAATTCCTGGCCTGGGACAAAGATCTGAGGGTTTCCGACAAGGTAAGGTTTTCTCCACTCCACTGTGTTCCTGCTCTAACACACGGCCTGGGGGAGGGTGCAGCTTCTAAACACTTCCTCTCCTCTCTCCCTCTACTATCGCCCACCTACTGCTCCCATTGTATTGGATGCTCAAGTTCTGATTTTTTTAGGGGGGTAAGGGGGAGACAGGATCTCATTCTGTTGCCCAGGTTGGAGTGCAGTGGTGCAATCATCACTCACTGCAGCCTCAACCTCCTGGGCTCAAGCAATCCTCCCAACTGAGCCTCTCCAACAGCTGGGACTCAAGGCTTGAGTCACCACTCCCAGCTATTTTTGCTCTTTTTATAATCTGTCAGCATCTCCCTCAGGGCTCTGCAGGCTTCTTGCATGGTGGATGGGTGGCCCCTGCCTCTGCTCAGGACCCTTTGAGATGGGAGTCCCAGACCACAGTCGTGAAACACTTGACCCCTATCATCTCAGAACTTGGGGACCTCAGCCTGTCAATGTGCTGGTATTACACACATATGAGCCTCCCAATCAGCCAAAATATCAAAGTATTCCTAAAACACTCAGCACAATTCTTTCCATTTTGCAAGTCTTCATGTTAAATGGACTCTATGGAATAATTCATATGGCATTTAGGTATAAATCTTTCCTTCTCTGCATTCATTCATCTCTTCCTATATTCAACAAAACCACGTGAAGGACGTCTTATGTGCCAGGGATATGGAGGATGGGAAGAGAGAGGTCACAGCAATGCTTGTTGAATTAGTGCACCAGGATCAACCCGGCTCACCAAGACCCTCCTGACACTAGCCGCCCTAGACACACTCCCTCCAGTGATCCCATCAGAGCATCACAGACCTCTCTTCCTCTGACTTCCCAGATTTGCAGCCGACTTTGAACACCCCTCCACCTGCAATCCCCCAATGAGCACAGTCACCCAACAATGAGGTCCCTTCTCTGATAGGCAAGCGCACCACTGCCCGCATTCCCTTATCTCCACCATCTTCCTCTTCCAGGATGTGACCTCTCTCTTGTTCATTCTGTTCCCTTCTCTCCATCAGTATCTCCTGTCGATGGTCATAGCGTATTTTAGCCGTGCCGGCCTCTTCTCATGGCAATACCGACGCATTCATTTCTTCCTGGCTCTGTGAGTACTTTGCTTCTTCCCACCCGTCAATATCCAATACCCTGGGACAGCGGAGGAAGTGGAATTCCAAACTTCCATCTATTTTTTACCCTATTTGTCCTCTTTCCTCTGTGTGTAAATCTAACAAGATTATGCTATGGCGTTCTTAGTCTGTTCTTTCTAAAAACAAATAAAAGTGCAGTTGACAAAGAGTAGAATCAAACAAAAGGAGACATAAACCCCTCCGAAGGGGAAAGGAAAGAAATGAACATGACCCCGCTCCCCAAGCAAGTTGCCATTTCTGGTTCTTCTGACTCTCTCCTTCCTATATCAACATCAAATGCCATTTTCCATCCTCCTCCTCTAGCTTCCCATGACAGAGGCCACAATTCAGGTAGTCCTGGCATAACATGGATCCATCTTCAAATCCTCCCTTCTGGGGCTTCCTGCCCTGCAAGTCCCCCCCGAAGTCAGGGGGCTCCCTAGAGCTGCCCGAGTAGCTTTCCAAAGCACAGCTCCCCTGCTTCACTGCCCACCTGAACCACTTCCTTTGCTGATTTCCCTCTAAATGGAGGACTGGGTCCACAGGGCGAATTCAACCCTCTCTGCAATCTCTCTAACACCAAATCTGCCCACCGTCTTTTGCTGTTTCATTATTTGGTTTGACTGATTCTTCCAAATGCCCGCCACTCTGTTTTGATTTGGTGTTCTGTATGGGTGTCCTGCACACATATGGATTTGAAGCGAATGACCAATTCCTTAAAGTCAGTCCAACCCCACAGCCTCTGTGATGCCTTCCCTGATCTTCCAACATCTCACTCCTGCAGCACTATACTTACCTCCTTGGATAATGGGACATTTTGGATTAGTTTATCTGCCCTGCTTTTCCCCAAACCCATCACACTAGATCTCTATTGAAGACAGGGTCTTGTCAAGACCAAAGTTTTTGTTTTTGTTTTTAGCAGACAGAGACGTGTTCTGTCCCTAAGGCTGGAGGTCAGAGGCAAGATTAGAGCTCACTGCAGCCTCTATCTTCTAGGCTCTAGTGATCCTCCTGCCTCAGCCTCCTCAGTAGCTGGGACTACAGGTACACACCACCACATCTAGCCACTTTTTACAATTTATAGTAGAGATGAGGTTTTGCTATGTCACCCAGGCTGCTACTCTTGGACTCAAGAAATACTCTCATCTCAGCCTCTCAAAGGGCTGGTATTAGAGACATGAGCCAGTCAATTAGCCAAAATATCAAACTCTTCCTGAAACAGTCAGCATTGTTCCTTCCATTTTCCATGTCATATTGACTCCATAAAGTAATTCATATAGCATTTAGGTATAAGATAAATCTTTCCTTCATTCATTCACGTATTCATTTATTCAACAAAACCTTATTAAGTACATTATATCATCTGTGCCAGGGAATATGGAGGATGGGAAGAGAGAGGTCACAGCAATACTTGTTGAATTAATGCAGCAAGATAAACAAAGCCCTATTTTGGCCACTTGGTAGGCGAGAGATGATTAACCGAAACACACCAGTCAGTTCCTGTCCTTGGGGCTCTTAGGATACAGGGGGAGACAGGTGTGTGCAAACATAACAAGGAAAGGGGTGTGGGGAGGAACAGGGATGGGGAGTAGGATGAGGTGATGTCACCTGTCTTGTGTAAGAATGGCTGGACACATGCTTAGGATAAGACTTGGGTTGGTTTTAATTTAAGAGGGAGTCTTGCTGTATTACCCAGACTGGTCTCTAACTCCTGGCCTCCAGTGATCCTCCTGTCTGGACTCCCAGATTGCTGGGATTCCAGGCTAGAACCACCAATCCCAGTCACCACTTGGCCTGTCTCCTGCCTGAAGGTGTGAGAGGCACCCTTCAGCACGTCTCTGTCCAGTGGGGCCTGCTGAGGAAGGCAGGGCCCTCTGCAGGGTGACTGTGGTTGCTGAGCTGAGGAGAGTCCCCTGCCTTCCTCTCTGGGAAGCTGAACTCAGGTGGGGGTCCCTCCTGGGGGTGGCCCTGAAGCAGCAACACGATTTCTCTCCCCAGCTACCTGGCCAGTGACATGGAGGAGGACAACCAGGCCCCCAAACAAGACATCTTCTCCTTCCTCTATGGGAAGGACCACTCCCAGAGACCCTTGTTCCATAAGCTTCGATACCAGTTCCTCTGTTCCATGCGCTGGAGGACATGGGTTTCCCCAGAGGAGATGGAGGAGGTAGGTGGGGCCATAAGGAGGAGGTGGGGATTGAGGAGAGATGGGCTGGATTGGAGGCTGGAGGAGGGCAGGGAGAGGTCTTCCAGGGGAGTCCCAGGCTTCTCAAGTGATGTGTGTTTTTCCAGATCCAGGCTTATGACCCAGAGCACTGGGTGTGGGCCCGAGATCGCACCCTCATTTCCTAGAGCCCCAGGGACATGGAGGCCTGAGGTCATCGGCCTGAGAGAAGGTATGTCTGAGTCCTCCAGAGTAAAAGCTAAAGAACATCTGAGGATCCCAATTGCTTGATCCAGCTTCAAACCTGGTCAACATGGCGAGACCTTGTCTCTACAAAAAATTCAAAAATTAGCTGGGCATCGTGGAGGGCACCACTAGTCCCCACCACTCAGGACGCTGAGGTGGAGGGAACAGCAGAGCCTGGGAGGTGGGGGCTGCAGTGAGCTGTGATTCTGCTACTGCACTCCAGCTGGGGCCACAGAGTGACACTCTGTCTCAAAAATGAGGATACTACGTAGGTTTAGGGAGGTTCCTTAGGATGGACACACTTGAGTTACGGATTTGGGAAAAGGATTCCCTGAAGATTTGCTTTACATCTTGTGCAGCTAACCGCATTTAGCACTAAGCATTAGACTTCAACAGGAGAGATTAAAATTCAGGATTAGGAATCTGGTCTGGTGGTTCGTGATGTTGTCATGTTAGACATGGGTGTAGCATGGTTCCAAGTTTAGGTCTTAACAACACAGAAGGCCCCAAGTGTGATGAAGTCCAAAGCCACATTCTCCCAGGGTGCTCTACTCCCTGGGCTGACTCCCTCGAAATCCTTGCTATGAAGCAGATCACTGGGGGTGATTCTGGGCATATTCAGTTATTTTTTTCAGTCAAGGTCACCAAAGTGTGACTATCAGAATCAAAAATGATGGTTCAGAATCAGGGTTTAGAATAAAGGGTCAGAGATAAAATAGCATTTATACATTGCTCTGAACTCTAGCTGCATCTTGTGGGATGCAAATAACCTTCCATTCTAGAGATCTGCCTCCTTCAAGTGTGACATCCTCTCTCTCACTTCCAGACCACAGGGCCCAGGGGAGATGGGCATTTTCAGCAGGAATTGTATCCCAACACCAAAGACACCAGGAAAGAAGAGAAGAGTTTCCTGTGCAGATCATCTAGAAGAACCTGGACTCTTCTAGAAGGAGTGGACTAGAGTGTCCATGTTTTCCTCCTAGGAGCCAAGGGTACTTCTTGTACTCTGTGGATGGAATGTGAGAAACCAGGGGTGTTTCTGGTTCCAACCCTTCCTGGGACACCACCTCCCTTTTCTCACTGCTGAATCCCAGCCTCCCTTAGACTGGAAGCTGTAAGGTCAGTTTCCTATGGACTTGGCTGCCACACTCCAGGAGCATGGGAAGCACAGTGCAGGTGCTCAGATTCTCAGAGAATTATTTGTAAAATATGAAATTACTGCCATAGGATTTTAAGAGATAGTTTAACATATACTGCACATTTTATTGTTTTATTTTGAAAATGCTGGCCATAGAATTATTACTATGTTTATTTTAAATTGTTTGAAATATGTAAGAGATAGTTTATTATATACTATACATTTTATTCGTTTATTTTGAAAATGTTGGCCATAGAATTACATTTATTTTGTATAGTTTGAGTTTTTTAGTATTGAAAGCATGCTGTTTCTATAGAGTTTTGTGATGGCTATTATAGTTGTTATATACACATAAATATAATTCGTGTTTTCATTTTTAAGAAAGGATTTTTATCCTAAATCTTTTATCTTTCAATCATTTTATCTCTTATCATATGTGCTCCCAAAGTGAGCACTCTTGTTATCTATGATACTGACCTAACTTATCCCTTATATGTATGGCTAGGTGGGAGTTCTACATCCTTTTAGATAGACATTTTTATTTTCTGTTTAGTGTTTGTTACTGAATTTGAGAATTTAGTTGTGATTTTTAGTATGCCTTACATATATACTAACATGTCCAATGTATACCACACATTTTATGTCTTTATTTTGAAAATTATGGGCACAGAATTATTACATGTATTTAACTAGTTTACAGATACAAGTATTTTGGAAAAGACACTTGTTATGAAGTTGTGTAATGCTGTTATACCTTTCATATACACATAAACAGAATTCTGTTTTCATTTTCAAGAGATGATTATTTTATCCTACATGTTTTATTTTTAAGTCTTTTTATCTACCATTACATGTGCTGCTGAAGCACTGTGTTTAGTTAGTATAGTTACATAATACACCTATTACGTTTAAAGCTAGGTGGCATTTACCCTAAATTCTTGTAAAAATAAACTTTTATTTGATGTTTAGCGTTTGTTATTGAATTGTGAGAATTCAGATGCCATTTTTTACCTTGTATTAAAAGGTTTCTATGTTACTTTAAAGAGGACGTGTGTTTGAAAGGGGGACGGGGGCTGTGTGTTTTAAAGAGGACAGTGCAGTGCACTGCCAGGGAAAATGCAATAAAGATGAAGTTTTCTCACCTTCACAATGACTGAGATCAGACTGATCTGGATTTCTTATTTGTTGTCCAATAACATTTTTGTTTAATGAGGTTATTAACTCTGAAAAATAATGCTGAGTCATTTTTCCTTTTTTTTTTTTTTTTTTTTTTTTTTTTTTTTGGAGATGGGGTCTTGCTCCATTGTCTAGGCTGGAATGCAGTAGCTCAATGTTGGCTCAGAAGCCCTCCACCTCCCAGGTTCAATCAATTCTCTTGCCTCAGCCTCCTGAGAAGCTGGGATTACAGGCACCTGCCACCACGCCCAGCTAATTTCACTATTTTGAGAAGAGGCACCATTTCACCTTGTTGATCAGGCTGGTCTCCAACTCCTGACCTCAGGTGATCTGTCCCCCTTGGCCTCCCAAAGTTCGAGAATTACAAGTGTGAGCCACTGTTCTACCCATAGAGTAAAACTATTTATGAGAGGAGGGAAGTATCTTGGGTTTCGTTAGTAGAAATCAAATAACTGAAGTCAATGAACTCTGAGGAGATGCTCGACAGACATGTAAGACTAACATCTTTTTTTTTTTTTTTTTTTTTTTTTAAGACGGAGTTTCGCTCTTGTTACCCAGGCTGGAGTGCAATGGCGCGATCTCGGCTCACCGCAACCTCCGCCTCCTGGGTTCAGGCAATTCTCCTGCCTCAGCCTCCTGAGTAGCTGGGATTACAGGCACACGCCACCATGCCCAGCTGATTTTTTGTATTTTTAGTAGAGACGGGGTTTCACCATGTTGACCAGGATGGTCTCGAACTCTCGACCTCGTGATCCACCCGCGTCGGCCTCCCAAAGTGCTGGGATTACAGGCTTGAGCCACCGCGCCCGGCCAAGACTAACATCTTATTTCTAAACACAAGCATGGCTGAGCCTAGAACGCAATTACTATTCCAGCAAATGGAACCGTGAAGCAATTGCTACAGGTTGCCTCCATTCTAGGACCCTTCCTCATGTCGCCAATACCATAAACCACATGCAAATAAGGCAACTAAGATCTGGGAGGAATTTGAGAAGCATTTGTGCAATGTCCAAGAGTGAACTTAAAATGGGATGAACTCAGGTTGTTAACAAGAGTCTGCACTGAGCCTGAGCTCTCAAAACATTCTTGGGATGGCCGGGCACACTGGCTCATGCCTGTGATCTCATCACTTTGGGAGGCTGAGGGAGGATTGCTTGGACCTGGGAGGTCAAGGCTACATGAGCCATGATCATTACCACTGCACTCTAGCCTGGGCAACAGAGAAAGACCCTGTCTCAAAAAAAAACAAAACAAAAACATTCAAAACATTCTTGGGGACTGCAGGTCTATTTTATCTACCTCCTAATGATGTGGTCACAGGGTAAACAGACCAAATATTGTCCCACCTCCCCTGTTTAGTGCCGTTTCTGCTTGTAGGGAATCCCAAGCCTAGAAAAAGGCAAAGCTAATTCTTCTGCCGACTTGGTGAATCAGCCTGGGTGATGGCTATTGGTCCACCTGCCGTGGATTGCTGCCTTAGCTGCCTTCCTGTCCCTGGGGGCATCCAATGAGGGTCCAACCAATCCATTCAAAAGGATTAGGATGAGTAGAGATGAGCATCAAAAATACAGAGTTACTTTCCAGAGAACATAAAGACCTTCTGTAAATCAATAAAAATGCAAAACAACCTTTTTCAAATGTGCATCAAACAGCAACAGGAGACACACAGAAGAAGAAATGGCTGTATACACATGAATCACTTCACCTATCAGACTGGCAAATTTTAAGAGATTGGTAATATACCATGTTGGTGAGTGTCTTAGTCAGTTTGGGCTACTCTCACAAATTCTGATAGACTGGAAAACTTCAACATTTCTCTCTCACAGTTCAGGAGGATGGGAAGTCCAACATCAAGGTGCCAGGAGAGGCAGTGTCTGCTGAGAGTCTGCTTGCAGGTTTGCAGATGGCTGTCTTCCCATTGTTCCCTCACACGGCAGACAGAAAAGGGAGAGAAAGCAAGCTCTCTCTTTTCTTATAAGGGCACTAACCCCATCGTGAGGGCACCACTTTTAGGAGCTAATTACCTCCCAAAGACTCTATATCCAAGTACCATTACATTGGAGATTAGGGTTGGATATGGTTTGTGTCCACATTCTAATCTCAACTTGAATGGAATCTTCCAGAATTTCCTCATGTCATGGGAGAGACCCAGGCAGAGGTAATTGAACCGCGGGGGCCAGTTCTTTCCTGTGCTATTCTGATGATAGTGAATAAGCCCCTAGGAGGGCGGAGAGGGACGGTGGTGTGTGAGGATCAAGATTGTGAAAACTGCCATGACAGGCACCAAACCAAGCAGTAGAAAGAGCTTCCAGATAGGAGGAGATACTTGGGCCGGAGCAAAGGGTGTCTTAGCAGCCACCACTAGGGACCAAGCTGGACCTGGACCACCTGATTTCACGGACAATCAAGGATATGTCTCATATACCAGGGAGAACGGGTGATTTCAGAGACAGATGGCTTCCTCCTCAAGGGCTGGCATTGCACAGCCCCGAGACTGAGCTACAACCTCAGAGAAAGGGAGGGGAACCCCAGATTGACTGTGCCAGCCTGTCTGGATAAACAGTGAAACATGCCCTTCCGAGGAGCCTAGAATGGTTCTAGGCGGTCTTACCATCGCCCTGCTGGGCCTTTTCCTACCAGGCTCCGGTGGAGAACCACCTCTTGTTTAGGGGTGGGGATTGCGTGGGTGTGTACTGCGTGGGCTGGGGGCTGTCCTGCTTTCTCTGCTGAGCCCACTGGGCTGGCTGGATGCGACAGCCAGGTGTGCGTGATGACCCGCTCTGGAAGGGAGGCTCTAGGGGAGCGTGGGAAAGGCGCCACCCGCTACACGTCTCCTCTTCCTCCCGGGCCCGGAAGGAGGGCGCGGCGAACGGCCAGCAGGGGGCGCCAGACGACCGGCAATGCGGCGGGGCGGGCTTGCGGCGCTCGTGACCCGCCCCGGCCCGAGCCCCCTAGCCCACCCCAGCCCACCGCACCCCACCCCGCTCCCCGCCCCAGACAGAGAGGAGTGGAGAGTGCGGCGCAAACAAGCAACAAAACAAACACACACACACACACAAAACCTGGCGCCTATTCCCCGCGTGGCGTGGTTTCTAACCTGGGCCCTCCACGCGACCACCCCCCTGCCGCCGCCAAGCGCCTCCTTTCACTCTCTCCTCTTCTTCGCGGCCATCCAGCCACGGCCCGGCCCTTCCCTCACCTTCACCCACCCCTGAACCCCAGAGAGGCCCCGGGAGAAGGGCGCCCACACAAGGCCCCTCCTCCACCAGATGCCCCTTTTCAGCCACACTCACCCGAAGTTGCCGCCCGGCCCCGGGCTCCGTCGCAAGCAGCATCTCGCCAGGCCCGACGCCTTCCCAGAGTTCCTCAGGGCAAAGAGCAGGCGCAGAGGGCACGACCCCGGCAAGGGGAGGACCAATGGGAGCCGGGGGCAGAAGGCAGCGTCCCGGAGCTCCACGTGTGGGCCACGCAACCCGGCAGCCCGTTGCTAGGTAACTGCATCTCCCCTCACTGCCCCAGCACGTCGTCCTGAGCCGCCCGCCCTGTCTTCCAGCCACCTTCTGCAGAGTCTCAAACACCGTCAGCAGTGGGACCCTGAAGGCCGAAGGGAGAAGCAAGAGCGCAGCCACCACCCCCTGAGCCACCTGCGGCTCTGCCACCCACCATTTTCACTGTGAAGAGTCAGCTGCCTGGGCCGGGAGGTCACTGCCGCCATGAGTCTGGGCATCATGGAAGAGGAAGACCTGGCCGAGTACTTCCGGCTGCAGTATGGGGAGCGGCTGCTGCAGATGCTGCAGTGAGTGTCCGAGGCCTTGGCCCTCTGTGCCTCGGACCACCCACACCCACCCCATGCCTCAGCTTCCAACCTGTCTGTTCCCTCCTCTCCTATAATCCAGCGCCCCAAATTACCTTGGCACCAGTCCACCCCATCACCTGGTCCCTACCCCTGTCACTCCTCCAGCTCATTCCCGCATGGCCCTCTATAATTCTCAACGCAACATTCCTTTCCTTCAGAAAGGGAGAGAGGCCCCCACCTTCCCCATAGGTACGTGTCTCCACCGGTTACTCCCAGCCCCAGACTGATCCGCCTCAGAACACACAGCCCTGTTGCATTCACATCTCGGACAGGAAGTTCCCCAATGTTCACGGAGAGTTGGAGTCGCCATCCATCCGGCTACTGGAGAAGAAAAAGGAGATGAAGATGATGCATCATGCTATGGTGCAGAAGAAGAAGGTGGGGACTCGGGGGTGGAGGGCAGAGGTACAGGGAAGGAGCGGGTGGGCTGGGGCTCCGGGAGATCCCGTGGACAGCTCTCCATTGTGTGGGTGAGGTGGCTAGAGCCAGGAGTCTTCTATGGCAGTCTAGTCTCTTCAGGGAGAACAGAAAGGATCTGGGTCTTGGGGGTACCAGTGTCCAGGGATCCTCTGCTCTGAGCCAGGCATGGGGTGGAAAGTGGGAGGCTCCTCTGGACCCTCCTGGGCTTGAGGATGGAGCCTCTGGGGCAGGGGATGCTGGGGTTTTCCTTGGTACCCATGTCCGGGGCCCTCCTGACCCCTCTGCTCCCACACCCCCACCCCAAAGATGTTTCAGCTCAGAATGGAAAGCCTGAACCTGCGCTGGGAGGAACTTGGCGTTAAGGAAGCCCAGCTGAAGGCTCACATCCAGAAGTTTGAGCAGTTCATCCAGGTTTGAAGGGGTGTGGGTGGCCACAGTGGGTGGGGGGGTCCACACTCAGCAGTCAAGTAAACTGTCGCTCCTCCTCCTTGCTTCTGCTGACTCCTCGCCCTGAGTTAAAAGCAGCCTTAGTGCTCCAATACTGCCTGGCACTTCCCTGGGCATCCTTTATGTCCCCCACCTGTCTCTAGTTGTAATTTCCCATTTACCTATCAATCTCTGCCCCCTCTGGATGGCCGTTTCCTATTTCCTTTCCAGTATATAGCACATACAGTGTATCCAGTAAATGAATGCATGTATGGATGGTTGGATGGATGGATGGATGAGTGAAGGTGCTACAGTCAGGACTTAGCACTTGGGGAATACAGTGATGAATGACACAGAGTTTTAGTCCCTCCGTCCACCCCACTCCTCCGTCCTTGTCCTTGCACTGAAGGTCCGGGCAGGGAATAGTTGAAGGACCAGGCACCAGAGTCCATTCCAAGACGCTCCTCTCACTTCACTCCTTACTGGAGCCATGTAATTGTCTGAAAATCCAGATTTATCCAGACCCACTCCAGTTAGCACTTACGCAGCCCTGAAGGGCCTGATCCAGCTCTGAGAGCTGGTAATGATTGCTGTCTGCTACAAAGGAGCCCCGCTCTTAAGCATCTTCCTTCCTGCTCTCTGCCTAAGCCACGTGGGACAGGAAGTCCATGGACTGGGCACATTCTCCAGAGGTCCAGTTCTTAGCAGCTGGAGAAACACGTCTGGAGTAGTTGGGGCAGGAGGAGATTTGAGTGTGAGCCATTCTCCAAATGGCACTCAAAGGGTCAGCAGATTCAGTTCCCAGAGAGTTTGCTACAAATACACACCCTGGGGGCTTTCCTTGTTGCTTTCAGCAGATCTGAGGTTGGGCCTCAGCTTCTGTATACATTCATTCATTCATTCATGTTTTATTTTTTATTTTTGGAGACAGTCTTGCTGTGTCACCCAGACTGGAGTACAGTGGCATGATCTCAGCTCACTGCAATCTCTGCCTCCCGGGTCCAAGCCATTCTCCTGCCTCAGCCTCCCGAATAGCAGGGACTACAGGCGAGTGCCACCACACCTGGCTAATTTTTGTGTTTTATTTGGTAGAGACGGAGTTTCACCATGTTGGCTGGGATGGTCTCCGTGTCTTGACCTCTTGATCTACCTGCCTCGGCCTCCCAAAGTGCTGGAATTACAGGCATGAGCCACCACACCTGGCCTCTATATTTTTTTTAAAAGCTCCATAGGCAGTTCTGATGAGCAGGTGGATTTGAAAGCCACTGGTTTAGACCCCCTCCGTCCTCTCCTGGGCTTACAGGACAGCACACAGATCCTCTGTGCACCTTCCTCAGTGGCCTCCAAGTGCCACACTCCATAAGTCCGTCCATGTGGAATCACAGGAGCCCCTGATGGGAGACAGGAGTCACACGGGGCAAGGGGTGGGCTTAGGGGAGGGGTTGGCAGAAAGAAGAGGCAGGATTGGATCGATTGCAGTAGCTGAGCCGCCTTCTGTCTTCCCGCATCGAACTGCCTGTACCATCTCCTCCCTAAGTCGGATGCAAGTCTGAGCTCCTAGGCGAATGCTCTCCCAGTGGCCTTACACCCAGGCCCTATGGCACCAGGTGCGTCTCCTGGCTCATCTTCCTGTAGCTCCAATCCTGTTGCCCCAGCTTGTGAAAGGGAGAGGGGCTCCTGCCTCCCATCTTCACAGCTGGGAAAATGGAGGCACTGAGCACCGAATTGGGAGAAAATTCGCGCCTCCCAGTTCTGATCCAGGAGTGGTCCTTCTGCTCCATGGAAAATGGTCACCAGGAAAAGCAGAAACAACAGAAGCTTTGTGAGAAGGCTTCCTGCTACCACTTCCAGACTTTCTCAGTCTTCTCAGGGGGTTGAGTTCTCTCCAGACTCTGAGCCCAATGCAATGCAGGTCTCCCCTAGTCCACTCTCTGAAGTCGAGAGCCCAAGTCCCACAGGAAAGAACCATTTCCTGTCTGTCCCCACTCCCCGGCCCCCAGGGCCACCTTTTGACCTTGGATGAAACCTCTGTCCCACAGCCCCCTAAGCCCCACCTCAGTCTACAGAAATCTCTTCAAGTAGCTTCAAATACCCCTAAGAGCCTTTTCCTTCACCCGGCTCCTGCCCCAACAGTGGCCCGGCAATCTCTGCCTGTTCCCAGGATGGTTTGAGCCGTTGGAAGGGTTTTAGGGCATCACCAGCCCCAGGATGGCCTGGGTCCAGGGAGGACTTGACGAGGCTTCCTGACCAGTGCTGCTTCCCCCGGACCCAGGAGAATGACCAGAAACGGATCCGAGCCATGAAGAAAGTCAACAAGGAGCGAGAACTCAGATGTCAGCACCTGCGGGAGCTGACCAGGGGCAAGCAGGAGATGGTGGCGCTGCGGCTGGAGCACCAGCGGCTGAGCGCCAAGCTGCAGGACTACTCCATCTTCAACAAGTACCTAGAGAAAGTGGTGGAGAACTCCGAGGTGAGTCCAAGGAGCCCAGCAGGGACCGGCCCTGGCACCTGCCTCAGCTCCACCTCTTTCCTGGGGCCTGGGGCCATGCGGTAGAGCTCAGGCTCAGCTGGCTTCAGACTGTGGACCTTCTGAGCCCCAGGGGCTCTGCAGGGATGGGCACCCTGCTCTAAGGAGATGCAGCCAGTCCTGGAGGGAGTCGAGGGCAGCGAAAAGAAGCCTCTGGTGAGGCTGGATGAGTTTCCCAAGGGGTGGGGCCTAGCGGTATGTCTTGGGTCACAACTGTGTATATGTCTTGCATGAGTTGCATGTTTATGTCTACTTGAGTATCCTTGGCTGTGTCTGTCTAAAGGGGTGTGTGTGTGTGTGTGTGTGTGCGCACGCATGTGTGTGTGCACGTGTGTGTGGCGCACCTGTCAGCAGGTGGCCTCTCTCTATCCCTGCGTCTCCTCCTCTCAGTGTCTTCTGTTTACTGGAGAGTAAATTGGAAAGGGGAAGGGAGAGGAGCGGAAAAACACCCAGCCTCCTGGTGTTGAAACACCATATGAATTGGGGTGTTTCAGAAGTCCTGGGCCTGGGAGTTGGTGCTTCACATGGGTAACTTCATTAAGTTCTCTGGTCAGCCCCAAGGGGAACCCAAGCTGATCATCCTTTTACAGAGAAGGAAATGGAGGCTCGGAGAGGTTAAGTCACCTGCAGAGAGTTTCACAGCTCATCAGTCTCACAGCTCATTTGCTTTTAGCCACTCCTCCATGGGCCCCACAGTGTAATTGACCAGGGCTCTTCCTGCCATCCCTGTGGCCCAAGCCCAGGGAACTTTTCAGTTCCAGCATGCCTCTTGCAGTGTAACACTGCTGATGCCCCTCCCAGAAACCAGAAACCAGAAACCACGCCCCCTGCCCTGAACTCTGTGGCCCGTCCTTCTCAGGCTCCTGGCTGGGGCGGAGAAGGGCCTCTTCCCAGTCCTTCTTACATGGTGAGTCCAGGTGCTCTGTCCCAGTCCTCCACTTTTCTCCCTGATCAATGCCCAGGGCCTTCCATGGATGCCACCCCTGTCACACTATCTCCTCCCCCATGTGACCAACAGCTAGAACAGCCCCCCACCGGGGCAGATAGAGGCACCCCCTCCAGGCATGTGGATCCATGTCCTGTTAGAGGAGGGGCGACAGGATACCCAGCTGTTTAAAGTTCCTGCAATTCCCATATCAAACCACTCACCTAGTTTACTCCTGCATGAGTCCCACATCTGTGTTATTTCCTCCACTCAAAGCTGCTCCGTACTATAAGGTCAGTGGTTCATTTCATGCTTAGGGTTTGTGGGGAAGGGAGCAGGAAGTAAGGAGGGACTACCATATTAAAACAGCCGATAAATTGCAAGATGTGGCCAGGTGTGCGGTGGCTCACACCTGTAGTCCCAGCACTTTAGGATGCCAAGGTGGGTGGATCACCTGAGGTCAGGAGTTCAAGACCAGCCTGGGCAACATGGTGAAATCCCATCTCTACTAAAAATACAAAAATTTGCCAGGTGTGGTGGCAGGCGCCTGTAGTCCCAGCTACTCAGGAGGCTGAGGCAGGAGAATTTCCTGAACCCAGGAGGCAGAGGTTGCAGTGAGCCGAGGTCATGCTATTGCATTCCCGCCTGGGGGACGAGGGAAACTCTGTCTCAAAACAAAACAAAATATTGTAAGATGTGTCTTGAGTTCAGAGTTGCTAAAATATGTATCTTAGGATTGAGGAAATTGGCCTGTGTCTCGCTCCTAAGCTTGAGACCCCACATCTAACTCTTCACCGTGCACACTCATCTCATCTGCTTCCTGACACCCCCAGGCCAGCTGGTTTGTCCTGTGCTGGTGAATGGCAGGGCCACCCACCCACAGCCCCGCCAGAACCTGGGCCTCCTTGGCTCCTCCCTCTTGCTCAGTGCCACAGCCATCAATCAGCAGATCTGGTCTGTTCTGCCTTGGAAGTATTTCTGGAATCCAGTCCCTGCCCCTTCCCCATCCAGGCCACCAGTGGTACCTCATCTGGAGTTCAGCTCGGCGTCATTCCTGGCCAGCCTGTTTGACATTCCTCCCATCCCGCTCTTTCTTTCTTTTCTTCTTTGTTTATTTTGTTCAAAATACTTTAAGCATACTGGAAAGTATAGAGACGCACATAACAGCAACCAAGTACTCATCACACAGCTTTGCTAAATCTTCATCTTTTCCCCATCTGCCCCCAGTTCTGCTGTCTTAAACACTACTAACAATTGAAATCCAGTAAATGAAATCCTTTGTGTCCTTCCAAATCTCATGCTGCTTCACCTCTCCTCAGACGCCAAGAGTATCCTGCTTTTAAAAATCCTCATATCATGCTTGTTTGTATTATTTTATAACATTTAACGTTTGTAACTTTTTATATGAAAATTTTAAGCATATACAGAAGTAAAGACAACAGTGTATTGAACACCTGCTGCTCATTATTTGATTCCAGTAATTATCAATTCATAGTCACATCCCCGTACTATCCCACCTCCGACATTTTGAAGCAAATGGTATATTTTCAACCATATGTGTCTCTCTGCAGTATCTCTAAGAGATGAGAGTTCTTTTTAACATAACTACAGCACCATTGTCACACCTACTATAAAATTGATAGTAATTCCTTAACATCAAATATCAGTATCATTTATTGCACAAAATGGGGCAAATGTGGTGGCTCATGCCTGTAATCCCAGTGCTTTGGGAGACCAAGGTGGGAGGACCACTTGAGCTCAGGAGTTCAAGACCAGCCTGAGCAAAACAATGAGACTCTCCCCCCAACTCTACAAAAAAATTTAAAAATAAAAAGTAGTCGGGCATGGTGCCACACATTTGTGGTCCCAACTACGTGGGAGGCTGAGGCAGGAGGACTGCTTGAGCTCAGGAGATCAGGTCTGCAGTCAGCCATGTTTGTACCACTGTACTCCAGCCTGGGCAATAGAGTGAGATCCTGTCTTTTAAGACAAATTATTGCACAGATGCTTTTTGTACAGTTGGTTTGTTCCAATCGTGGTCCACTAAGGTCCTCACACTGCCCTTAGTTGGTACGCTTCTTAAGCCCAACACAAAAGTGGTTATATCACATGATTCCACTCATGTTTAAAAACAGATAAAATTAATATTTAATGATAGAAGTCAGAATATTGGTTTCCTCAGTGGTGGGGGGAAGATATTCACTAGCAGCCCTTCTTCATCTATTTGCCTGAACACTACCATTAAAGAAAAGGACTTCATAAGAGAGAACCTTCCCATTTGATGATTGTGTGGGTCTTACAGAGAAAGTTTGTTAAATGCTTTATTTACAGTTTTCAGAATAATGAATTGGTTCTCTAGCACTCACCTGTAAGGCTTCTAGTATCATTGTGAACTTATAGGTTTTTAACATATTTGGTATGTTTTAATCCATTGCACTTATTCTTACTAATGTTCAAATCATCTCATCTTTGGGCACTGAAGGCTCTTTGATTTGACACCTGAATCGTGTTGGCATCAGCATTAAGTTTTAGAGGTGTGTTCCTAGTAGCTCGGATGTAGTCCGTTTATTTGAACTGTGGTACGCTGTTGCACTGTGTGCCAGATGAACTTTCAGAAATGTAGATGTGAATTGTCTCTCTGCTTTTTCATTTTTGAGACAGAGTCTCACTCTGTCACCCAGGCTAGAGTGCAGTGGCACAATCTCAGCTCACTGCAACCTCCACCTCCTGGGTTCAAGCAATTCTTTGCCTCAGCCTCCCGAGTAGCTGGGATACAGGTGCCCACCACCATGCCTGGATAATTTTTGTATTTTGAGTAGAGACAGGATTTTACCATCTTGGCCAGGCTGGTCTTGAACTCCTGACCTCGTGATTCACCTGCCTCAGCCTCCCAAAGCGCTGGGATTACAGGCGGGAACCACCACGCCCAGCCATCTCTGCTTCTTAAAATCCTTCAATGGATAAAGTCCACACTCCTTCCCAAGGTTTACTGAACTCTTGCTTGTTGCTTGCTCTTTCTTTCTTCTGTCTTTTTTCTTTTTCTTCCTTTCTTTCTTGCCTTCTCTTCTTTTCTTCTTCTCCTTCTTCCTTCTTCTTTTCTTCCTATCAATCTCTTCCTCCCCATCTTGAACTCAGGCTACCTTGAACATCCTGAACATACCACCCCCTATTCTGTTCATCTTTGCCCAGGCTGTCTCCTCCACCTGTAGTACTGCCTCACCTCCCCACACTCATTTTGCTGGCTGTCATCTATTCATACCTCCCGTCTCATTTCAGCCACTCTTTCTCCCAATAAACCTTTTCGAGCTGTTTCTACCTCCTCCAGTGCTGAGTTGGGTGGCCCTTCCCCAAAGAGGCATATTTGGGGAAAGGCCAGCAGGACAGTTCCCAGGACACTGATCCATCCCTGACGATGTCATGAGATGGAGAAGGTGCTCGGGAAGTTTCCCCTGGGTGGCTGAAAGGCATGCTTTGATAAGCCCCTAGGAAGGCAACTTGGCTTCACAGAACTGGTGCTCATGCTCTGCCTTCTAAAAAGAGTTGGTTTCAGGGCTTCTCTTCCACTGAGCGGGACCTGAGGATTAGGGCCAGAGTGGCGTGGTTCTGGACCATGCTGGAGGAGGTGAGCTGAGTCTGGCAGGCCACCTGCCCCACCAGCACCATCTCTAGCCCCCACTTATCCCCCAGCAAATGAATAAATACCAGAGATCACCAACTGGAAGCCTCGCCCAGATTCCTGTCCAGCCCTGTCCCCAGTCAAAGATAGGGCTTATCTTACTGTTTTACCTGTTTACTTATCTGTCTGTCCTCCCTCCATGCCACCCCTCAGGCTGTAACCGTCCTAAGAGCAGAGACTGCTTTTCTCATCTCCTGCTATTTCCCTAGCATTTAGCATAGCTCCCGACTTAAAAGTTGTTCTTGGTACAACCTCGTTGAATAGGAAATTCTTGCCTTGGGAGACATATCAAAATGCCCTGCACCAGCAATTACCAACCCTGGCTGTGCCTAGAACCACCTGGGGATCTTTTGCAAAATTCAGGTGTCAGAGACCACAGAAGACTTGGTTATCCATCTGAATCTCTGGGGGTGGAGACTGGCAGGTATCCTTTTTAAAGCCCCTGCAGGTGATTCTAACATGCAGTTAAGATCAGAAATCCCTGGCCCAGTTGTACATCTCCTCAGCCCAACAAATGGATCATGGCCAATACAAACCCAGAAGAGGCAGGCATCGGGAATTCCAATGTTCCTCATAGCCTCTGGCCATGCCCCTGGCCAAGGGCCTATCTCCCCAGATGTCCAGATGTCCAGGCATCCAGGCTGGGGGTTGGCAGGACTGGGTGGCTCCATCAGGCCCCTGGGGCTGGCTGTGCATTGACCTGAGCCCCTGTCCAGCAGTTCGAGGAGATCCATGAGGTGATCGCGCGCTACAAGACGCTGGTGAGCATGCACCACGACCTCATGCAGTCTGCGCAGGAGGGGCAGGAGAAGATTGAGCGCGCCAAGGCCCGGCTGGCACACTACATGGAAGAGAAGGATGATGAAATCCTGCAGCAAAACAATGAGCTGGCAAGGCTGCAGATGCGCTTTGACCGTGCCCGCAGCAACGTCATCATCTGGGTGAGGGGGCCCGGGGTAGGCACTGGGTGAGTGAGAGCCCAGAGTACACACACACACACACACACACCCCACATTCTGTGCTCATGCCCCATCCTTATCCCCTCCCCAGGAATCTCGATGGGCACATATCCAGAACACCGCTGCCAAGAAGACCCTCCTGCTTGGCACCATTAAGATGGCCACGCTGAACCTCTTCCAGATTGTGAGCAAGCAGCTGAAGGAGGCAACTGAGGTGGCGCTGGAGGACACACACAAGCAGCTGGACATGGTAGGAGGATGGGGACAGGCACTGGGGCCGTTGGGTCTGCTGGGCCAAAGAGGTTGCCAATTGGTTGGGTGGAAGGATGAACCCAACAGAGCAGCAGAGGAGGGGCTCTCAAATTTTCACAACATCAGGATCATCTGGGGGGAGGAGGAGTCTTACTGGGCCCCACACCCAGAGTCTCTGACTCAGTGGATCTGAGATGAGAATTTACATTTTCAGCAAGTTCCCAAGTGAGGCTGCTGGTTCAGGTTCCATACTTTGAGAATCATGGCATTAGCACCAAACCCTTTTTGGCCCCAGGATACAAAACAGTAGCAGGGACCCATATGGAATCCATTAGTTGTGCAAAACAGCCTTATTAAATTCTAGCGAGATACTGTGGCTTGTTGAAGGCCTGAGCCTGAGATCCACTGTTTGTTAAAAAGAGAAATTGGAGTCCGGGACTGGTGACTCACGCCTGTAATCCCAGAATTCTGGAAGGCCGAGGTGGGCAGATCACCCGAGGTTGGGAGTTTGAGACCAGCCTGGCCAACATGGTGAAACCCTATCTCTACTAAAAATACAAAAATTAGCCATGTGTGGTGGTGTGCACCTGAATCCCAGCTACTTGGGAGCCTGAGACAGGAGAATTGTTTGAACCTGGAAGGTGGAGGTTGCAGTGAATCAAGATCATGCCATTGCACTCCAGTCTGGGTGACAGAATAAGACTCCATCTCAAAAAAAAAAAAAAAAAGAAAGAAAGAAATTAACCGGCCATGGTGGCACATGCTCCTATAATCCCAGCTACTCGGGAGGCTGAGGCAGAAGAATCACTTGAACCCAAGAAGCAGAGGCTACAGTGAACCGAGAAAAAAAAAAATCGAGAGGCACTTTCCCAACTTTGAAAAAAAGGTGGCGGGGGGAGGGTAAACTCATGAAATATACACAGCAATGCAAAAGGATTTCCCTAAAACAAATAATCAAGCCTACCCCTTAAAGCATGTTTGAACAGAATTACGTTACAGCCCAAAGGAGGGGATTTGTAAGAAAGTTTGTTCTGAAAGTAGCAATTCTCAGCATTTTGTCTTTACACTCCTAGAGTTTATTGAGGATTCCCAGAGAGCTTTCCTTTATAGGGGTTGTATCTAGTGGTAATTACCATAATAGAAATTAAAGGATAAAATTTAAAAATATTTAATTCATTTATTTTAAATAATAATAAAAAAATAAGTCAATAGAAACGGCATTTTTATGAAAAAAGTTTCAAAAGTGTTTTGTGAGAAGAATGGCATTGTTTGTCACACTTGCAGATCCCTTTAATGTCTGGTTTAACAGAGGACAGGCAGGTGCTCATGTCCACTTCTGCATTCATTCTGCTGTGACAGAATATGTCATAGAAACTCCACTCTGGAAATGCCACTGTGGACTCATGAGAGAATAAGAGCAAAAAAGGCAAATAACATTTCAGTATTAGTATAAAAAGAGTTTTGGCCTCAAAACCCCTGTCCCCCAGAATAGGGTGCCAGAGACTCCCACAAATCCTCAGGCCCAACTGTGCAAGATGGCTCATGCCTGTAATCCCAGCACTTTGGGAGGCTGAGGCAGATGGATCACCTGAGGTCAGGAGTTTGAGATCAGCCTGGCCAACATGGTGAAACCCAGTCTCTACTAAAAATACAAAAATTAGCCAGACGTGGTGACAGGCACCTGTAATCCCAGCTATTGGGGAGGCTGAGGCAGGAGAATCTCTTGAACCCGGGAGGCAGAGGCTGTGGTGAGCCGAGATCGAGCCTACTGCACTCCAGTCTGCGTGAAAGAGCGAGACTTCGTCTCAAAAAAAAAAAAAAAAAAAATACTCAGTCCTCCTCCCCTCGGCCTCCCAGAGGTCCTCAGGCCCCTGCCCTTAGCTGTTGTGAAGAAAGATGCAGCAGGAGGGCAGGGCGCCATAGTTCACACCTGTAATCCCAGCACTTTGGGAGGCCAAGGTGGCTGGATCACCTGAGGTCAGGAGTTCGAGACCAGGCTGGCCAACATGATAAAACCCTGTCTCTACTAAAAATGCAAAAATTAGCCAGGCATGGTGGCAAGTGCCTGTAATCTCAGCTACTCAGGCAGCTGAGGCAAGAGAATCATTTGAACCCAGGGAGGCAAATGTTGAAGTGAGCTGAGATCGTGCCATTGCACTCCAGCCTGGTCAACAAGAGCAAAACTCTGTCTCAAGATTCAGTGGGAGATGCTGCCCTCCAGCCCCTCGCTCCCACAAGCTCATACCGTGCTGAGACCATATCTTCTAGTCCAGTCCACTCCAAATTTTGAGTTTCTGAATCCCTCTCAACTTGGATTCACCTCTACAGAACTTCATATTGCCTTAAAGTTATTTGAAAATATCTCACTTCATTCCCATAGGAGATGAAGCTACTCATGGAAATACATGTGACCAAGTAGCCTAAAGATTTAAAATTAATTCAGCCTGGGAAAGTACAAGTTGAAATCAGAGGTCAAGAATGGAGAGAAATACAGACTGCCCTTGGTTCTTATGGGCCTCAGACAGGGGCAGTTAATTGGCTCTGAGATTCCTGGCAATCCTAATGAAAAGCCACCTGTAGTTCTTATACTAGAATAAGGAAAGATAAGGTTTCCTCTTCCTGGCAGTTAGCTCTCCCGGAAATTTCCCAATGAGCCTTCATTGACATTCTACAATGTTCTCAACAACATCCCTGCAACCAATGTAGGCACGGGCTTCGTAAGGCAACTGTTTATACAGAACAAGGAACGTGGTGCACAGGACAGCTTAAGAAAAGTGATTCTGCAGAAGGCCAGGGCAATTTGAATTCCATAGAGCGTGTGATGGAAGGTTTGGCATTATCCCTGAAGAAAAGTCAAACTATCTGAACAAGCACTTTCCAAACTGAATCCTGGGATACTGTATTGTTTCCTAGGGGGGATAAAGGGACTCCACAGACTAATACATGTAGAAAACTTTAAATTAAACCAAGACAAGATTTAAAAAAACAAACAGGACTTAGAGTCTTTGCTATGCCCTGAGATGCTCCCAGCAGACAGCATTTCTAAAACTGACTTGACCACAGAACTCCTTTGAGGCATGTGACCATTTATGAAAAGAACATAGCTCAAGAAATGCTGACCTGTCTTCTTGGGAAAGCTGTCATCTTGGGAAAGCTGCTTTAATTCATTGACTCTTGGTTTTCTCATTTGCAAAATGGGAATGATATTGGTAATAGTAACAGTGTTGGCAGCTGACAGTTGTCGAGAGCTTTGGACAGTCTGCGTAGTTCCGTCTCCAGAGATAGCCTTGAAAAACAGAAATTTTACAACTGAAATTTTTTATTTATTATTATTAACTTTTATTTTAGGTTCAGGAGTAGATGAGCAGGTTTGTTATACAGGGAAACTCATGTCACAAGGGTTTGTTGTACAGATTATTTCATCAACCAGGTACTAAGCCTGGTATCTAATAGTTATTTTTTCTGGTCTTCTCCCTCCTCCCACTCTCCACCCTCAAGCAGGCTCCAGTGTCTATTGTTCCCCTCTTTGTACCCACCGGTTCTCATTGTTTAGCTCCCACTAATAAATGAGAACACGCAGTATTTGGTTTTCTGTTCCTGTGTTAGTATGCAAAGGATAATGACCTCCAGCTCCATCTATGGTCCCTCAATGGACATGATCTCATTCTTTTTGATGGCTGCATCGTATTCCATGGTGTATAAGTACATTTTCTCTATCCAGTCTACCACTGATGGACATTTAGGTTTTTTCTATTTATTTGCTATTGTGAATAGTGTTTCAGTAAACATCCCATGCATGTGTGTTTATGGTAGAACGATGTATATTCCTTTGGGTATATCCTCAGTAACAAGATTGCTGGGTTGAACAGTAGTTCTACTTTTAACTGTTTGAGGAATTGCCACACTGCTTTCCACAATGGTTGAACTAATTTGCACTTCTGCCAACAGTGTGTGAATGTTCCATTTTCTCCACAACCGCAGCAGCATCTGTAATTTTTTGACTTTTTAATAGTAGCCATTCTGAGTGGTGTAAGATGGTATCTCATTGTGGTTTTGGTTTGCATTAGAACTGATGTCTTAGAGGCTGTCTGGGCCAATCCATTCTCCCTCTCTCCGTATTAAAGATGAAGAAACTGAGTCCCAGAAAGATGGAGTGATTTCCCCAGAACTGCGATGGGGGCGCAGCTAGGTCATCTGACTTCTGGAGTAGCACCCTTTTCTGTGTTATGCTGACTGTGTGCTCTTTAAAACAGAAGCCAGGGCCAGGCACGGTGGCTCATGCCTGAAATCCCAGCACTTTGGGAGGCTGAGGTGGGTGGATCACAAGGTCAGGAGTTTGAGACCAGCCTGACCAACATGGTGAAACCCTGCCTCTACTAAAAATACAAAAATTAGCTGGGCATGGTGGCAACCACCTGTAATCCCAGCTACTCAGGAGGCTGAAGCAGAAGAATCGCTTGAACCAGGAGGTGGAGGTTGCAGTGAGCCAAGATCACACCACTGCACTCCAGCCTGGGCAACAGAGCGAGACTCCGTCTCAAAAAGAAAAAAAAGGGAAAACCAAAACAAAAGAAAACAGAAGCCAGTGAACAGAATTTACATTTCTTTTCATGACTCAAGGTTATCACGATGAGCATCAGCTCTGGGTTTCGAGTGCACAACCACCTTGAGGGTGGTGAAGTTGTGGAAGGTGGTCTGCCCATGCTGACGGGACCCTGCCTGCCAGATCATTTTCATCCACTAGCCTGACCCTTTCTTTCTTCTCCCTCCTGTTTGATTCTCAGCCTGGACTTCACACATCAACAGGCCTGCCTCTAGGAGTTCCCAGCTTCATCCTTGTTTGTTGCTTCTAATTGGCTTCACCTGACACTCAATTTCACATCAAAACATTGTCAAGTGAAAGAAAGCGGCTTCCTCAAGAAGTGTGGTGGCTCATGCCTGTAATCCCAGCATTTTGGGAGGCCGAGGCGGGTGGATCACTTGAGGTCAGGAGTTCAAGACCAGCCTGGCCAACATGGTGAAACCCATCTCTACTAAAAACACAAAAATTAGCCAGGCAAGGTGGCGGCACCTGTAATCCCAGCTACTCCGGAGGCTGAGACACAAGAATCGCTTGAACGCAGGGAGCAGAGGTTGCAGTGAGCCTAGATTGCGCCACTGCACTCCACCCTCGTTGACAGAGCAAGACTCTCGTATCCAAAAAAACAAAAAAAGTCAGTCACAGAAAAGCAACGATGCACTATTCACTCTTTACAAGTGAATGCCTGGGATGCTCCATCTTAGGAGGAGGGATGCCTCTGGGGGACGGAGTTAACGCTGGGCTCCTTGCCTTTTTAGATCCAGCAGTTTATCCAAGACCTGTCGGACATCTGGGCAGAGGTGAAAAAGAAGGAACAACAGCAAGTCCGAGTCTAAGGCAGCAGCCTGGTTCCAGAACGCCCTGAGACGGAGACCGTGAGAGGATAAGCCGGGAACTGCAGTCCAGTCAGTTCAGCGGGGACCAAAACCCCTGTGCCTTCCTGCTGGGGAGCACCTGGCTGTTTTCCCCTTGGGCCTCACTCAATCCCTGAAAACAGTCAATGTTATAAGAAGTGTGTTCTCAAGTTCTCTCTCTCCCTTTGGTACTTTATTCATGGGGAAGAGTGTCAGCGAAGGGGGACCCCCGACAAGCTCTTGCTCTCGAAGCTGGTCGCCTAGGCTGCCTGGGAGCTAGAAAGCACATCTGTGGTCTGGTGTCCTCTCTGCTTTGAGCGCACACACAGTCAGTGTTCAGGTGGGCAACAAACCAGAACATCAGTACAGGGGACCCTTCCCACATCCACCACTTCAAACGTTTATTTTTATTTTATTTTATGTATGTATGTATGTATGTATGTATGTATGTATTTTGAGACAGAGTTTCTCTCTTGTTGCCCAGGCTGGAGTGCAATGGTGTGATCGTGGCTCACCACAACCTCTGCCTCCTGGGTTCAAGCAATTCTCCTGCCTCAGCCTCCCAGGTAGCTGCAACTACAGGCATGCACCACCACGCCCAGCTAATTTTGTGGGGTTTTTTTAGTAGATACAGACTTTCTTCATGTTGGTCAGTCTGGTCTTGAACTCTCCCAATCTCAGGTGATCCACCTACCTCAGGCCCCCATGGTGCTGGGATTAACAGGCGTGAGCCATGATGCCCAGCATTTTTTTTTTTTCTTGGAGATGGAATTTTGCTCTTGTTGCCCCAGCTGGATTGCAGTGCCATGTGAAATATCAGCTGGCTGCAACCTCCACTTTCTGAGTTCAAAGGATTCTCCTGCCTTAGCCTCCTGAATAGCTGGGATTACAGGCACCCGCCACCACGCCCAGCTAATTTTGTATTTTTAGTAGAGATGGGGTTTCACCATGTTAGTCAGGCTGGTCTCAAACTCCTAACCTCAGGTAATCCACCTGCTTCAGCTTCCCAAAGTGCTGGGATTACAGGTGCCAGGTGTTTCTAATTTGGGTGAAAGACCCACTAAAAACTTTGAAGGTAGCTTCCCAGTTCAGAGCTGCAAAAGTGCTGAGTTGAGAACTCTTCCCTGACTTCAGAAGCAAGCTGTGCTCCCCTACCCCACTGTGTGCCCTAAAACACACAATCAAGGCTGGGCACTGTGGCTCATGCCTGTAATACCAGCACTTTGGAAGGCTGAGGCGAGCAGACCACGAGGTCAAGAGATCGAGACCATCCTGGCCAACACGGTGAAACCTCGTCTCTACTAAAAATACAAAAATTAGCCAGGCATGGTGGTGCGTGCCTGTAGTCCCAGGTACTTGGGAGGCTGAGGCAGGAGAATGGCTTGAACTGGCGAGGTGGAGGTTGCAGTGAGCAGAGATCATGCCATTGCACTCCAGCCTGCTACAGAGCAAGTCTCAAAAAAAAAAAAAAAAAAAAAAATGCAATCTAGTGTCAGCAATGCTAAGGAAGGAAGAGACAGCAGGCCACCGGTAACTAGGGAGGGACCACTAATATGCCAATTGACAGGCTAAAGGCTCAGGCGCATCTCAGCAGCCTGGGATGATGGATTAATACCAGCCAAACTCGGGCCAGGCACGGTGGCTCAAGCCTGTAATCCCAGCACTTTGGGAGGCCGAGGTGGGCGGATCACAAGGTCAAGAGATCAAGACCATCCTGGTCAACATGGTGAAACCCCGTCTCTACTAAAAATACAAAAAATTAGCTGGGCATGGTGGCGTGTGCCTGTAATCCCAGCTACTCGGGAGGCTGAGGCAGGAGAATTGCCTGAACCCAGGAGGCAGAGGTTGCAGTGAGCCGAGATCACGCCATTGCACTCCAGCCTGGGTAACAAGAGCGAAACTCCGTCTCAAAAAAAAAAAAAAAAAAAAAGAAAAAAAAACCCAGCCAAACTCAACGTAATCGAGGTAAATGTAAAGTCTCAAACTTAGGTTCAAAACCTCAATTGCACGTTTTTCAATCAACAGCAAAAGCCAAGTCAGAGAGCCATGGGGAAGTAGCATTTATTCAACAGGGATTTCATTTGTGTCTGCCTCTTGAAAACCCGGTGAGGCATCTTATTCTGACTCACAGAGCAGGATGCTTGCCCGGGAATACAGGCTACAGGTCGACAGGGCCAGGATTCACCCTTGGGTTCACTATTTCTGAGCCTGGCCTCTCCCTTCTGACCAGTCTGCCTCCCAGAAAGCAGGGACTCTGTGCTTTCATCCCCAAAGCAGGCTGAGGAGCAGATGCAAGCAAGGCTCCGTGTCTCCTCCCTGGCCCTGTGATCCTGGAGGGTCCTCAGACTGCCCAGATTCCTGTTGCCTCAGGGAAGGTACTGCTGCAGCTGCCCCGCCAGTAACCCCTCACCTTCACATACCACGTGGTTCTCAGGTGTGGTCCCCAGCTCTGCAGCGTCAGCATCACCTGGCGGCTTTACCAATTAAATTCTCAGGCCCCACTCCAGACCTGAGAACCAGAAACTCCAGGGGTGGGACCCAGCACTCTGGCTTTTAGCAAGCCCTCCATGCAATTCTGACGTGTCCTCAAGTTGAAGAACCACTACCTTACAGTGACCAAATGCTTTCAAGTATCTGGGCTCCATTCATTTCCGACCTCATGAAGCAATACTTGTCTACCTGGGTCAGCGTTTAGCCAGAGAAGCAGATAGATAGATAGATAGATGATAGGTAAATAGTGAATAGAAGATAGATAAATAGATATACAATACATAGTAGATAGATGATAGATGGATAGATACATAGATACACAGACAGATACATAGACACATAGATAGATGGTAGAGAAAGAGAGACCCTTCTGATACGTGTGAAGGGCTTTGCTTCGGGGATTTGACCTTAGGCAGTGGTGGGCACTGGGTAAGCAGTGTCTATAAAGCGGCTGTCTTCCCATCTGATGCTGGGGCTTGAGGTTTGCAGGGGACATGGTTGGGAAAGAAGCATGGAGGTAAAGTGGGGGAGATCAAGGGCAAGTCAGAATCAAGCACAGGCTGGAGAGCCGAGGACAGACAGACTGAAACCAATGTCAGTTCTTGTTGCTTCTGAAGTTGCTGGTGTGGGCCTCCTGCCAAAGCTAAGATCCTTCATCCTGGGACTGAACACGTATGCCTGGCTCAGGGTCTGGAGACTGAACGGGGCTCCAGAGGAGGGTGGCAGGTGCAAGCCTGGCCACCACCTCACATCAGCGCCACGAGTCAGCAGGGCCGCAACAGCGTGTATAAGCTACAAAGAGGGCTGCTGCTCCCACCCGCCCCCAAACCCCGCACCATGGGAGCTCTCAGTGACCCACGATAACAAGACACACCCAAGAAAAGGAACTCTAAGAATACGATTCAGCCTAGGCAAGCTGATTCATCCCAAAGTCTCCAGGCTACCATCATCTCCATTTCACAGGTGAGGAAACCGCGGCGTAGCCACCTCCAGCATTCCTTCCCTGAGGCAAAAGGAATGCTGAGAGGAATGGATGCTGGGAGGCTGCAGTCCCCCCGGCTAGCTCTGGGCAAACAGACGTCTCTAGGGGATGAAGGGCAGAGGTCACCTCACAAAGCCAGGATGGGCGAGTGCCAGGGTGGTGCTTGGAGGGGGATGGATAGGCCAGGGCCCTCCAGAAACAGTGGTGGGTGAAGGATATGCTGCTGAAAGAACTTCCCCGCATTCAGCCTCGGTCCTGGGAGGCGGGAGAAGGCACAGAACTGGAATTTCCCCCAACTCCCCAATATACACAGTTCCCCCCAACACTCACATCTTCTGCTGTCTCCGTAAGGTGGTGTTTGAGAAGCTCAGCCTGCTAGGCCTGAACACACTTCCTCCTGGAGTGTGTGAGGCCCCTCAGCCCCAATCCCTGGCACCACCTTGTGCCAGAAGCCCGAGGCCCTCACTCTGCCTCCTCTGCGCTCCCTACTCGGCTTCACTGCCCTGTGGCACCGAGTTTCCTGCTCGACTGAAACGGACTCCTGAGGGTCACACTCAGAATTCCTACGATCACACGTAAGCTCATCCTAACTTATGCTGACACTGTATGTGCATGCTCTAAGTGTGCATAACTCATCCTGATACTGCTTATGTATAACCAGCATCTGCATGTTATACCTGTGTGTAACTCACTCTGATATTGTTGCATTTTTCAGACTTAAAAAGGGGCCCAGTCCCGGAGCAGAAGAAATTCTGTGGGTATAGGCAGATTTCTTGAGTACAAGAGAAGCCACAAATCCACAACAGTTTCTCAAGCTCACAGAAACAGGGAGAACAAATCCAAAAGGCGCAGGGATTCTCAGGCACCGGAGTGATGGGGCCTTCCCAACGTGAGGGTCACAGCAGCCACAGACAGGCCCTCGATCCTTCCCTATCCCACCCCAGCTACTTCTCAGGCCTTCAGCATGGCTCCCCAGAGCCCTGTAGCCAAGACTGGCCAGGCGCGCTGGCTCGCGCCTGTAATCCCAGCACTTTGGGAGGCCTAGGCGGGCAGATCACAAGGTCAAGAGATGGAGACCATCCTGGCCAACATGGTGAAACCCTGTCTCTTCTAAAAATACAAAAAAATATATGTATATATTAGCTATGCTTGGTGGTGCGTGCCTGTAGTCCCAGCTACTCGGGAAACTGAGGCAGGAGAATCACTTGAACCTGGGGGGCAGAGGTTGCGGTGAGCCAGGATTTTGCCTCTGCTCTCCAGCCTGACAACAGAGCAAGACTTTATTTCAAAAAAACCCAAAAAGCCAAGACTACCCAGTCAAGAGGGATTCCAACTCTCAGATCCACAAGATCATGCTCTAAGAACAAGGAGATGAAGTTAAGGGTTTGACTAGAGTTTTTCCCAGCAAGAAAAGACACTAACTCAGCAAACCACCACGGCACATGTATACCTATGTAACAAACCTGCACATTCTGCACATGTACCCCAGAACTTAAAGGATAATTTAAAAAAGAAAAGACACTAACTCATGAGAACAGAAGTAACTGATTGTTTCCAGAAATGAATGGTTCTCATCAGCAAAGGCAGGAAGTGGGGCTCTGGGTGTTTTATGGATAAAGGGAGGGAAAAGGAGGGAAGCCTTTCAGGAGCTCCTTCTCAGGGTAGAGCACTCGGTTCCCCTCCGAACCTGGTTCCCCTCCAA